TGTCGTCGTTCCAGAAATTTTGTTTTTCGAGCTGTTCTTCTATGGACCTAGGTTCCTATTAGCATAAGATGGGTTTGGAGTAGGTATCGCCGAGAGGTAGGCACCTATAGGACTCGGGCGTTTAAGCTAGAAAGAAATTAGCGTCACTAGTAACTATAATGAAGAAGCAAATAGTCTTACTCTCCGAGACACCTCAGACACTTGCCTATTGATACGGGGCTACTAGTCTCTCCATGATGCACCGCTTCGGGTACGTGATCTGCCACACTTTTGGTCTCCGCCGCCTAATCAGCATCTGCTTCATATTCTATGTCTTTATCTATTGGCATATAGCTTTCTTCCGTATAGGTCTACGATTCTATCTCATAAGGGCAGTCTTCATCTTAGGCGCCTGCAGCCGATTCAGGGATGCTCTAGAGGTCGAAAGGCTTGGCTTTGGAAGCAAGGGCATCGCGAAGTTGGCTAGAGAATCGACCAAGGTTCTCTCCGGAACCGGGATGTTAAAGGATACCTATGCCGAGGATTCTGGACTTGTTAGAAAAGGGAGTGAATGATTGATAGAGTGGGTGAATAAGAAGTACAGCTAGGTCTTTCTCTAATGCTAGAAGCCGTGCTTGATTTATAGTCCAGACAGACAGCTCGGCAGAGCGCTCGGACCAATCCGAGAACTGGGACCGTATACCCTACTAAATAAGTACGCCGTTAGGTATTTTCCAGAGGTATACGCTATGGTCGCAGATATTTGACTAGACCGGAATGCCTACCTAGCCCTAGACTAACAAGCCGCCCCCAATGTGTGGGCCTAGGGGAGAGCGATGATAATACCTTGAGGGTTATTTGAAGGAAATCTAGACCACAAGCCTTTCTTTCTTCGTGCAAGGCATTTTGGAGCAAGTATCTAAGAAAATATAACACCAAAGGGATGATTGTCGACAAATCAGCTAGGCCATTTGCCCTTCGTTTAATGATGATGCAGATCTCATTCGATGCTGCTCAAATGGTTAAATGTGAGATTTACAAAAAACCTATACCTGAAGGTCAAGGAATGGACATTACCTGGTCGAAACTAATTAGTAGGCCGTCGTTTATCTGTGTAACCGTATAACTTCCCAAGGATAAAATTTCACATCCCTGTCAACCTCATTAAACCGACTCCACTTGAATAATTCGAGGTCCAAGTGGGCATCAAGCCAGTTGCCCATTTCTTACTATACTATAATCCTACTAATTTAGCCGAAATAAAAAAAAAGCGTTTGTTTTTTTAATTTTTATTTAATTTTTATCTCGTTTTTTTAGCCTGCATCGAACCACCGATACAATGATTGGATGGGTATTTATTTTTCACCTCATTTTTTTCGAGCTGTGAGTTCTGCTATGACCACCTGCCCCCAAGAAATGACGACTTGTTTAAAATAGGAATGGTGAGTTGAGTATGCATCAGTTATATTCTCGCTGTCTGTCGTTTCTCACCCATCTCGTCCAGCGTTTGTTTTCATGGGTGATTTCCTAGTTGTTGTCTGTTCTTTTACTCTTGCACATACCCCATCCACCAATATGCCGAAAGACATATACCTTCGTTGGACTGAGTCTGAGGAAGATAACCTCGAACCATGGTTATCTGAATACGACTGGATGCCATGGAAAGAAAGGGCTAAGGAATACTCTAAGCAACACGATAAAAACAGATTATTCGAGTCGCTACGAGGCAAACGCAACCAGCTTCGGAAAGGGATTAGAAGGCGGCGACCGATCTCAGACAGATCGACTTTAGGGGCCCGTACCACGGCCCGTAGGGCTCTGTACAGAATCCAGAGACTTCCGCAGGGCTTCCCTCCCCGCCCTCCCACCTTCAGGCTAAAATCTCCCGACCCTTCGGCTCGTCAACTACTGCGGCAGGTGCATCAACATGGGAATCCACGCCATCAGTTTTCTCCACCGGCCTCGCAAAAAAAGAAGATTCCCAGCCCGCAATTTCACCAAACAATGTCACGCCGGGTAGGTCAATATATAACCAGCATCAACCTCGCACTGCTAATCAACGACTGCCTCCGCAGTTTACATAAGTCCCAAGCCGGTATTCCGACGACGTGAACAGCCGAGGTTTATTTCACAACTTTGGAGGATGATCCGCCGCATGCGCATTTCTCACAGGGACGAGGAACCGTGACGCACGCAGAGATGAAAGGCGGAAAGCGTAAATCATGACGCATTTTGGGCGGAATTAAGATCACGGGTGTCCCCAACAATTACTAGGAAGTATGAATTTATATGATACGTAGTCTCATTACATTCTTCCCGTTCACTTCCCTTGGGTCGTGCTTGCAAGCGAAGACCAACAGTAAACCAGTACTATCCAGTTGCAACTTCACAAATTGTTCGGGTATTGAATCTAAGTCTTCTGGAACATGTGAAGTTGTGGTTCCGAAGTTTTTGGGGCCGAAGTTGCCACCATACGCGAGGCCTTAAGAAATCCTACATTATCTATCAAAATTCCCTGCATGTACTGGCTCATAGTATCTCCGTGTACATCTCCAGTGAAAGGTGGTGATGTGCGAGTTTAACACCTAGTAGAAAGAGCAACTGGATGTGCGCCTTGCGATTGCTAGACAACTGCGTTGTAATGCCTAAGCCTAATTTCCCGCAACTCAAAGTCTTCGGCTTCAAATAATATTAGTTATTGGTACATATGCATGCCGGGAATGGCCCACACGCTTTAGTTTTGGGAAAACGATATCAATATCCTCCCAGCCCTCCTGGACCTCTTCACACAGACCAAACACTTCTCTTAAAAAGCTCTGAAGAGATTGACCGAAGCTCATAAAATCTTTGTTTTGGGGTACATAGTGACCGCCGAAAAATTCATAGAACCATGGGTATGAGCAATGTCGTGCGAGGCTCCGTGTCTGTGCGGGCGAAACCGTTGAATCCAACACGCCGACGGTGTGGAACATCGGAGTCACAATGTTAGGGAAATAGAAACCTTCATAGCACTTATTCTCTAGCTTGAAGCCGCTCAGACATATTGCGAATTGTAACTGCGAATGGCGTCTCTAGACAAGTCCAGTCAGATGTGGGATTCTATCCAAACAATATATTTAGATGCTTTTTAATTACCTCCCATGGGACTCCACAAACTGTGTGTTTTTTTTCCAGCATTGAAGTAACGATGGCGGTCATAGCGGCACCCGAGGAAAACCCAACTATGCCGCTAAAAGGACCGTCTTGTTCAAGGGTATCAAGGATGTGCTGAATTGACCGCTCCAAGCCGTTGATCTCATCATTATCAGGTTCACCGTAGCCCCAGACCTTTTGGTCTCTGGTAACGTTGTCATCAGGATAAGCCGGCAGCACACCGGAGAGAAACTGGAATTCAAACTCTATCTCTTTAGACAGAGTGCAAAAAGCTTCTCGCACGTAGCGAGTTTTAGGCTTGAAGATGTCTGCAGATTGTCCATGTCCTAGTATTTTGTCAGCTCATACGAGAGAGTATATTTGATATAAAATACCGTGAAGCATTAGGATTTTGTGAACAACAGTGGACATTGCGAAGCTGAAATCGGTAAAGAATAAGAGCGTAGAAGATCTTATAAGAAATTTCTTTAGTTGCTGTAGCTATTATATATCCACAACTTTTGTGAAAAGCTATTTGTTCTTCATGAGAGCTGGAATGATAGTCTAATGGCGTTACCGCTTACCTCGATATGTCCCTTTTCTTGAACACCGGTATGTAACTACTACACTACGTTGGTGTTGGTTATGCTGTTTTACACATCACGTTTAAATGGCCTTTTTATCGCTCTCGCCACGAATGGGGCTAGGCTCAAGTTGTTCAAAACAATGACGTCTCATTTGCAGTCAGAACTCTATCTTACTGGATCAACTGGACAGTGCTCAGTCTATGGTATCTGAATGCGAAGGCTCGATGCTCCACATTGTGCAATTTTGTTTAAACGAAAAATAAAACGAAAAATTCTATCTTGCGGAACTTATCGTGCTATTTTATAGGTAAGGATTGCTATGCAACATATGTGGGCGGCGTGAAAATAAATTGAATAAACATTACAATAAAGTCTCGGTCTGCTCTTTCAAGAAGTCAGGAGTAATCCGGTGTGCGGCACTCTGCTACGGTGCCTTTTTCTTGTCTTGCTCAACTTTGGATCTCGCACCGGATAAACGACCTCTATTATGATTCTGAGTTTGTAAGGGAACTGTTTTTCTTTTTCTGGGGGCCAATTGAAGGAGAGTTAGAGTCTATGAGAAAACGCTATATGAGCGATAAGGAACGTATCATAGAAGGCGATGATGAGGGATTGAGAGTTGATCTTCCAAGATGTCAAAACTTTTGAGGATTTGTGGCGATTTCTCTTGGAATGTGCCAAAGGACTCGTGCTTGCTCATTAGATTGCGTAAGTATTCTACTGTAGCATGAGCACGAAGTAGTTTGGTTTCGTTCCTGAGGGAAATCACTAAACTATTCTCTGTGATCGCTGCGATACGCGCCGGTACTTACGCCACGCAACATCTTTGGTAGCCGCAATTGGCCAGTGTTCCAACCTCAACAGCTGCCAGTTAGTATGACGCCTTGCGCGTCATGCTTCGACATCCCACTGACAGCGCACAAGGCCTGACGAAATTTGAAAAGCACTACTTGTTTGCTTGTCCTCCTTAAGTCTAGCTAGAGTAACGTATAATGGGAGCTGGAAAAGCGGGAGGACTCCACACGAGAGGTCACATTTTACGGCGGCGCTCCGGGCTTCAGTGATGGTTGCAGCCGAGTTCCACTGGGCCATACAAAGCGGCTCCCCTCCGGTGTATGGATTTGCCGCCTTCCACATCAGCTCTATCTTTGTCCAACGTACACAAAGGATGCGGGGAACTGGAGATAACGCGAATAGAGATTTAGCTATCAACGACTTAGTTATTCTAGCCAGGGATGAAAGAATCCTCCGCGAACTCGTTCCATATAAATATCGCTCTTTTGATACCAAATCCAAGAACCATTACTCTTGCATTTCCACCGTGTCAAATCTGCTTAGCGCTCTCAAGCGTTCACCACCTATGATGAAAACCCAAGGAACAGGCAACAGCAGGACAGCAATAAACCCGAGTACGCTCGAGGCCCACGCAATCCCAAGCTTCGTATACACTACGCTGGAAGTCAGTACTGATTGTCATGCAAAGAGGCGATAGAAAGTACTCACTCTGAACTGTGAAGAGGGGGAACGCAGCTGCAAAGCCATACCTAGCTAGGCTGTTTGCACTCATCGCGCTCGCCACTATCGAGCCATGGTAGGTGTCGACAATATACTGGGCTGTACTAACAAAGACACAGATATTGCCCCAGCCGAATAGCGCAATGGCAGTCACCGGACTCGCCCACGAAACATCAGCGCGTGAAGTCCAGCCAAACCAGAACAGGCTGATGGGTAGCCCGATACTGCCAATTAATGATGGGTAGAGCCGATGTTCTGGTGGAACCCGTCTTCCCTGATAACTTGCCGCCTTTCGACGGTAGATAAATATGTCGCATAACAACACAGTGATAGCACCCAGAAAGCATCCGACAACTATGGATAAAAATACAAGACCAGAAGCCTCGATCCCAAACCCGTAAATGCCCTGAAAGACAAGGGGAAACGCAGCAAAGAATGAAAAGAGCGTTGCGAATTCACACGCCACATAGAGGCAAATTAATGCAACAATGGGTTCAGTAAGAACCATCTGAACTGGACGCAGAAGCGAGACAGTGACAAAACCTCGTAGTTTTGTAGAAAGCGGTGCTCGGGGAAAAGACAAGCCAAGTTCCTTGGAGCGCCGGAACTTGATCACTGGATGGAACGTCTCTCGAGCAATGAATGTTGTGATAATGGTACACATGGCAAAAAGCAGCATCGTCCACTGGGTCCAGCGCCAGCCCTTTCGATTGACCAAGAAACTACCAATGACAGGTCTGTATACGTCAGGAAGTCTGTCGGTATCATGGGATGAGGATAGAAACTTGCCCAATTCCGGGGCCCAGGAAAGGAGTCAGGATAAATATAGTTGATGGGATAGCCCGAGAGGCGGGCCTGAAGGTTTCGTTGATGGTTCCAGCAGCGATGGCCAAAGGAGTCGCGAAGCAAAGGCCAGCGAAAAACCGCAAAACACAGACTGCAGTAAATGTGTTACTGAGACCAACACCGAGTGTGAATGCACTTCCAAGAATCGCGGACCCGATATAAATTGGATACCTACCAAATGTCTCAGACAACGGTCCTCCCACTACCGGTCCTAGCGCTAGCGCGAACACGTACAGCGACAAAGGAAGTATTGCGACCGTGCTGCCGACTCCAAACTCTTCTATAAATTGTGAATGAGCTGGTGACAATATGGACACGCCAAGTGAGCTTGATTGATTGTCAGCGAACAAAATTTCCACAAAGGGGCAAGTTTGGCTCACGTCGTGAATGCCGCCGAGGCAATCATCAGGACCTGTTGGACCTTCCATTTTGTCGGCCAGTTGTAGGGGTTGTTTGGATCGGCGTCCCACTTCCAAGTCTCTTGGCCACATAGCGCGTCCTCCTCGCCGAGTACAGCTTCGGGTTCACGGGTTGCAACTTCCCTCGACTGGGTTCCCCCCCAACGGTTGCTGTTATTGTGCTGTTGGATATCGAGACGAGCCATGACGTGTCTTAGAAGATTTGACAGCAGATAGTAGCAGCCCGAACAAAAGTAGAATTAACTGGGTGTGAACTTGATGGCCGCTGAAAAAAGTGAAGCGGAATGAATATATAAGTAAAAGATATGGTGCAATGTAATGAAAATTAATGGTTTATTGAATGACAAACTGGGAATGCAACTCAAACTGAAACTTTGAATTACACATGTTGAGTGGATCCACCAGTTTTTCTTTGGTTATTTTAATCTAGGTAATGTCCTCACCGATCTGGAATTGGGCGTTTCCCAAATGTACACAGGGCGGGAACGAAACGTTCGAATGCTTGAACGTCATGTCGAAAAAGATATTTCTCAGCTGGACGGCATGTTTAATACGAGAAGTTAAGGCGGTCATTATATAATTTAGGTGCTGAAACACTTGTCTTTACCAAGTGTTGCATTTGTATAAATGGGTTGCCGTTCACTGGTCTCATAGCAAGAGTAATAATGACCGTCAAGTCTAGGCCCCTTATGTCGATACCCCAGGCTTTAGAAATGCCCCACACCGTCCCGAACTTCAACGCTCTACGGCGCTTTCCCGTTTAAACGCTCTCCCGACTTTGACACTCCGACTTCAACATCCTCAAAGTCAAGCCCTCCAGCCTAAGCACCTTCAAAGCTAGCCGACCGGATTATGTGGGATACAGTATGAGAAAAATAACCCCACTGGCGAATCTCTTAACCTCTTCATGAACCGATGGTTCGTGCATTCAACAGCTTATAGTATAAACTGACTGATGTTTAATGGCGGCTCAGGTTGAATCTCATAATTGAGCGTGACTGATACTGGTAGCTATAGATTGGGGGAAGAGAAGATTGAACAGAAGAGGCATATGTTTTAGATACCATGGCCACTTGGCCATCTTGAAATTTTTGTTCAAAGATAAACGGCTGGATATTGCTGCTACAAGATGTGGATGTATGAGTCCATTGCTCCTGAACCCTCGCCAAAGATGTTATAGAATTTATAAACCATTACCCACTAGACTAGGTGCGAATCCATATCTTGGTCCAGTTGGTAGATCAACTGGTTATGAGCCCGGATTGCGCGACCTCAGAGTGCACAGGTTCGATTCATGCGGTTTGCCTCGAGCAACCAGAGCCTACATCAGACGGCCTAGGATTGGCCACACAGCAAGGCAGCAGAGTGAAAGAGTCGCTCCCAGCCAGCTGCCTATAACTTACCAGTTGGGCTGGTTGGAGGGTTTGGGGGTGGGGCAAGGGGAAGGGGTTGTTGATTATAAACAGCTATCCGGTAGACTGGGTAAAAATTCGTATTATGGTCCAATTGGTAAATCAATTGCCGAAGCGATATGCAGGCTAAAAAAGCTATATATATCCATTGGCTGCTACAGTACTGTGAGGTTTGGGGAGACTGGGCAAATGAAGGCAGTTCTGAGCAGCCGGCTTCCCATCTTGTTCGTAGCTTTACGTCTCTGTTATATCTGTTACAACTCACTATTTGGTCTATCACCCTAAATTGCTTTAACATTGCCGTCAAAAGAAGATCACCTGCAAGCTTTTTAACTAAACATTGTCCGTGGAGCCTGTTTATTAACATATGGAATCTGGTTAGCAGGTAAAATGAACCTTTATTTCCTGTTTTATGTACGCCTTCGGATTGCAAAATGCAGCAAATGGGCAAATTGAGATTTCAATTAGAGGTAATTTCTTCGTCTACAAAGAGATACAAGAAGAGTTAGGGTCATCCAATCGCACCTCATAGGGAAACAAGCTCAAGATGCCACTGGCATATGGTATCGTTTACAATTAATGCAAAAACCTGACATGGCGTCAAATTTTAAGGTTTCCCAATTAATTTCAGGGATTGCTCAGCGTGTTCAATCTGGAAATCGATTAGGACTAGACGATTTTGAACAGTTTAGCCAGGACACTGACCAAGCCAAAGGGAGTGAAGATCACAGATCCTCTCCTTAAGATAATAGAAGGGGAACTCGCGAAAGCCAATTCTACTCTTGTGTTTTGCTTTTGTTTTGACCTCATATCACGAGACACCTGCAACAACTACTAGCCAGTCGAGTCCGAATACGATACCGAGGATTCATCAATCTTATATCTTGCGGCAGCTTAGCAATTTGTTTCAAGCTCTCTGTGATGTGTCTTCTCTCTGTTCCACCAGAAATTACCTTTCTCATTGCAAATAATCTGGATTCGGCGAAAGATCTTTTCAGCTTTTTACAAGCTAGCAGAAAGCTGTACAATCTCCTCATCAATGAGGCTTACCGAAGGAATGTCCGCTTGGATGGTGGATCGGCTCTTTTGTGGTACGCAAGGCGTGGGGACGAACTCGGAGTTCGAAATCTGCTCCGGGCAGGGGCGAATGTCAACCTTCGGTCGCCAAACCGGGCACAGTCAACAGCGCTGCTAGAAGCTGTTGCCGGCAGGCATGTCCACGTTGTACAAATCCTTCTGGAAAATGGGGCTTTGCCAGATGCGGTGGATGCGAGGTCCAGAAGGCCCTTAGCTCTGGCGACTAATGGTCGTAGCAATGTGGCCATCATTAAGTTGCTCCTAGATCATGGTGCCAGGGTCAATTCCGCGGCACTGGACAAACATGCCCCACTCCTTGAGGCCGTAAGGTCAAACCAGGAACATAACGTGGAGTTACTTTTGAAGCATGGGGCTGATTCACACATTGTGGAAGGCGGGACTGGCATGAATCTCTTACATATTGCAGCTTGGAAGAACGCTGCCCCCGGGATCATGAAGAGGCTCATAGATACTGGTATCCAGGTGGAGTCTCAAGACTATCGCGGAAGGACGCCTCTTCAAGTAGCAGCTGAACATTCCTGCACACGCGCAGTGCGCGTGCTACTACATCTTGGCGCCAATCCAAACTTCACGGACACGAGGGAAGGATGGACTGCAATTTTCTATGCTGCAACAAGGCCCAGCAACCCCCGGAATGACAACAAAACTATTATTCGAACACTCGTTATGCATGGATCCGAGCTCGAATTCAGGAACCCTGCTCAGGCGACACCTCTACTGCATGCGATTTCACGGGGTGCATTCAAACAAGCGCAGGCGCTCATTGAATGCGGCGCTAGTATTACTGCTAGGAATGCCTATGGCGAAACCGTTCTTCATCTGGCGGCTTCGTCCCGTTCGTCCCGGCGTCCTGACATGATTGGTTGGCTTGTCACAAGCGGAGCCGATGTGAACTGGGCTGGCGGCCAGCATAGGGAAACACCGATATTCTACGCTATCAGTCACTATTATAAGAACGAAGCTGAGGAGTGTGTCCGAACTCTTCTGTCGCTTGGAGCCAATGTTCACTTCTCAAACGACGATGGGCTGACACCCCTTTCCTTGGCTGTACGCACGGGATCTATGGATTTAACAAAAATGTTACTTGAACATGGAGCATTCCCAAATACGAGAGACAAGCAAGGCAAGGGTCCTCTGCATCACGCTGCTGAAAGTAGGAACATCCACAGCATCGTAATGCTACTCATTGAAAACGGAGCCGACATAAACACTCAGGACAACTTTGGATACACGCCATTACATCGAATAATTGCGAAGGAGGATGCATGGGAAACAGTTGGGGAAATGCTAAAGGCTGGAGCGGAACGTTACGTGATGTCTAATGATGGAAAATTCCCTCACGACATGGTTCCTGATGGTCCTTGGGCGGAAACGAAACGCCTCTGGGTCCGATTCTACATGCCCATGGCTACCTCAACGTCGTCAAAATCTACATAAAAACCATCAAATTACTATTCATGTATACAAACTATAAGTTCAAGGGATTGGTTGTAACTGGGCTTAGATTTAATTGATATCTTATGATGAATATCGCAGGTACTGTGACCCATACCAGATAATAACATGCATATTACCCTCGAGATAGTTCTCTTGCGGGAATGGCCTGAGAAAGATGACCGAGGTCTCCGGCGGGCTAATGGTATCCCGGCTTTGGTTTTTGTTGCAGATTCGATCGGCATTGACCTCTGCAAAAAGACGTCCCAGGATTCTGCCATCTTTTGGCGGATTGCTTTTCACAAAGTAGGTGTATTTCAGTAAGGCCGCGCACTAGGATACATACAAGTCTTACGTGATGGCCATTGAACCCAAGAACACTATGTACAAACAGCACAGATTTTAACTCCCATTTCCTAATAAATAGCTTTTGATCAGCACAGTGCACGTCTGTAGGGCATGCTGCAATACGTGCTACGTTCTGGCGTCGAGTTATCGAAGCACGTCTAGTCCCACCCTAGCGAGTTTTCCGCCATGGTCGGCGCGCTGATCTTTTGAGAGCGACCATGTCCACGGATGACCTGGCTGTGGGCACGCCGACCAGAACCTGAATTACCCTGTCCCATGTGACTCTCAGTAGAGCCGGAGCGCTGGTGAAACTGCTTCCTCTTGCGATAGTGACGGGCAACCCAGAACATACCGGCACCGTAAGCGCCAGCACCGGCCACAGCCCCGATGCCAACTCCTATGGAGCTAGCGTTGACCTTGAAATTACTGGCTGAGCCATCACTGTTGACATTACCACTCACCGGGCCACCATTGTGACCACTACCTGTGCCGCCGCCGTCGGCAGTTGAGTTGCTGTCACCAATGGGATAATTACCGGAGAACTCGAGAGGAATTGTCGGGTCAACCATGGCCATTAGTGACTTGATATTCTTATTTGTCTGATTGTAAAGAGCAGAGTTAGGGTTGACCTTGAGACCCCTTACTGTGTTGACTTTGTCACGAGGGAAGTAGAAGATTGCAAGGGTGGCGTTATAGCCGGCGGTTTGCCAATTATAGTAAGGCTGAAGTGCAAACATAACTGGGATATCCTTGGCAGGGTGAGGTGGCAAAGCATTCTCAATAGCCTGAGGGGTGTATTTAAATATCTGCGATGATGACAGAGGGGTTGTTGCAACAAATGGCCACGGCAGCTGGCTGTCGAATCCAAGCTGAAGCAGGATCGAGTCGGAAGGAGCCTCGGTTACTTCGTCCGACGGGGTGATAGAGTAAGGAAGAGGAGTTTTCTTGGGCTTCCCGGTCAGACCGGAAGTCGAACTTTCGATGAATGGAACGCTAGGCAGTAAAAGGAGGGTCGATGGCATCCAGTCATTATCGTCGGAGTTGGAAGGCGTGGCCAGCTTAGATTGAAAAGACTCTGTCTTTACACGGAGCTTGGTTATATCCACATCACTGGTTGATCCATGTAGGGAGACAGAAGTGTTGGGAGAATCGTTCTTAGAAACAGAGGCGGTGATTCCCGAGAGTGTAGCCGACGTGGTACTAGAGCATGCGCCAGTGCCAAAATCAGTTCCAGGGCTAGTGTCAAATTTAGAAACAATGGGGGAATTATAACCCAAGTTGAAGGACTTTGGTATCGGAATCGCTCCACTGGTGGCGGTTGGGGTCAGGAAAAAAGCAGTGGCACTATCCCCCAAACTCAAAGCAGGATTGAGAACGGTCGATTTTGACGACAACAGACTGCCGTCAAGCATCGACGCTGTCACACTAGGGGCAGTGAAACTAGCCTCTGGGGGTTCAGCACTAAGCAGAGATTCTACGCCGGATAGGTGTTCGTCGAGCATTCCACCAGAAACTGAAGTCCCAATGAGAGCGGGAGTGGGTGAGAGAAAGGGAGTTGTGTAAACAAGCAAGGCAACTGGAATAGTAGACAGACTAGAAGCGCCAGAGGGTGACTTTGAAGTGTCAGAGGATGGTTTTGAAGTGGTGCTGCTTCCAGTGGATGCCTTATCAGTCAGGCCCAATAGGTCAAAGAATTCCGATTCGGAGCTTGTCATGATCTGGCCTAGAAAATTGGAGTTGCTGGAATTGCTGGAGCTGGTAGTTCGATTGCTAGTGTAGCTAACTTTAGTGAGCCTCGCAGAGTCGGGTTCACTGGTCGGGGAACCGAGGAAGCTGTCTAGACCCGTACTCAAACTACCCGGCAAGGAAGCGGTAGATGTAGCCCAAGCATAGGAACTCGACGTATTTAGCATCTTGGCCAAGGGGTCCGTAGAGGGGGTAACAGCAGAGACACTCCTGGACGTGGAGCTGCTAGTTGAGCCACCGATGAAGTTGTGTACACCAGCGTCCACGTCACCTACGAGATTTTCGCGGAAGGACGTTGGTAAAGTAGATAAAGCAGGTGTTATTGAAGCAGTGACTAATGAGTCAAAAGTTGGTCCCTGCTTGGTCGTAGTTCCCACATCAGTAGATGCAGTCTCAGAGTTCTTCCGAGACTTGTTAGTACTCGAAACCCTGATTCCCTTGGGCGTTGCGCTGGTGGTAGCAGCCGGATCGTCACTGATGATTGCAGCACGTATGGTACGGTGAGAGACATCAGAGCTCCTAAGGTCGACAGAAGTGGTCTCAACAACGGTTTTTCCCCTTTCTGACTATGAGCGAGAGACGACTTCTTAATTTTAGACAAAACTGGAGGTTGAGGGAAAGAGCTCTGGATAGAGACGGGGTCGCTCAGCGCGGCGTTTGGGAGAAGATGGGGGCCGGAAATAGCGGTATGATGGACGTTGCGAAGTGTTCTTTTGATTAACTCTTGTTGGCGCCCACGCGGCCGTTCCACTTGTGCTTGGGGGATATCTTGGGCTACCACGAGTTTCATTCCATATATAAAGAGAAAAGTGATGAAAATGGAGATCGCTTTGGGACGCATATTGAACCATGAGACATATACGTCGCCCCGTTACCTTGTAAAGAAGAAATACTTAGCCTGTCACAATTATATGTATATACCACTTCTGAAAGGGAACTTTAGGTTTTCCGAGATTCTGGCTGCTGGGAAACTGTAAGTGCAGTTAACCATATCCCATTTGGCTCCGGAACTTGAGGGTCTGTACAATATCGGATTGACCGCAGGCTTGTGTTGTTGTGCCTTTTCGGGAACTTTCAAGGTCATTCAATGAACCAAATCCTCCAGTTTCAAGATACAAGGTTCAATAAGACGCCTTGTGTCAATGTCCTTCAAGGTCCAATCTCCGGGAAGCGATGTATCACATGATCATCCCACGGCCGCTTCAATCCCCAATTTTCAGCATGACTCCTCTCCGAAAAAAGACTAATTAAAGGGAGAGTATCTCGGTTGCCCCAAGTGAATTGTTTTTATAAATCCTCCGGAGTTATATGTACCGGGTCGACTATCATGGAAGCCAAACTACCTATTCCCAAACTGAGGGCTTTGTTGCCGCGCATAGAACAAAGGTCAACGGCTCTCAAGACATGCGAATCTTCGGAGGTAACTGCTGAATTGGCAAACGATATTGATCCATGGTCGCGGTTAGTGATTACTGATGACTGTGCATCCAGCAAGGTTGGCAACTAGTGAGATATTCTGTCACTTTGCTAGGTACAGCTATAGAGTGGATTTGAGACCCGAGAGATGCTAGGAAGAACATTGAGGGGAGTGGCAAGGTAATGATGATGACGAAAAGCGCGCTGAAGCGGTGAGTGATAAAGGTTAACGAGTTATCGAGTGCCGTTGTATGGTTATAAGTTACTGCACGAATCAGACAACATCTTACAATACCAATTTTGCAGAACCTGAGTGTCTGATGGAAGTTGATATCAGCTGTCATGGTTAATTCTAAGCAAAACAACCTCCTCCCTGCCCCGTTAATTGAGGGCCGCGAGTACGGTATTGTTTATAGCCTTCATTTCTATACGTACTACATGTACCACCATGGCTTGCTTGTATTCTAAGCTTTCCCCTATAAGTAGTCGTTGGTTTCCTTCACGATAAATATCCTCCTTCACGGACTCATATTCTTCATGGAATCATAGATGGACCCTAAAAGGCTCGATGATCCAAGCGATACAGCTTTGTCGGAGGAGCAGGGACAGAGACCATTTCGGAACACGAAGGCGAGACAAGTATCAGAAGAGAGACGACAAGCTGATTTGTTGAAAAAAAGAACGATTTAAGTAGACTCGAAGAAATTGAAGAGAAAGGCGATCTTTCAGGTTCTCAGAGGAAGAAGCTTGATAAGCTTCGAAAGGAGCTCCGTGACGATGCTAGCAACACAGTAGATCCTCAGAGTAAACCTCGCTACGCAGGGTCTACTGGTGAAAATGAAGATGGCAAGGTTCAAAAACCCTCGCAAGAACCGGGCAGCGATCATTTATCTGCATCAGTTGGCAAAAGCACGGTTCCCAAGGATAATAAGTGGAAAGATCAGGCAGCTAAGACAGCCCCAGATGCATCCTCCGCAATGGGTGAGGGTTGTGTTGCTGAAGCATATTGTCGAAGCAAGTCATTTGGAGGTATACGATTGATTAATCGCTACGGACCTCATGGTCAATCAAGATATGAGTTTGGGCCATCAAAGCGGCCATCAAAGCGACCATCAGAGCCACATGAGATAGAAGAAATAAAAGGTCTCCGGCTGATTTCTAGCAAAGACAGGACGATCCTAGACATCCAAAAAGGTGGCCAGTGGCAATATAGCTTCCATAATATTGAAAAAGTTGTCAATATTGCGACTCTGAACCCTAGTCGAAAATGGAAACCACGAGGAAAGAAAGCCACCCGTGTATTTCCCACAGTCCTTCTGAAAATTCAATGGTGTGGCATAGAAAAAGAACATGAGGAGGAATTCTTACAGCAAGGACAAGGCTGGATTTTCAGGGGAAAGGTGACGAAGAGGATCAAGCGAAATCAGAAAGTTCTCCTGGATGAATGGGGCCGTGCAAAAGCGAAGGAACAGGATCTGTCTTACCAAGGTTGGCTAAAGAAAAATGGCATTGCCAACAAAGATAGCGAGGAACTACATACTACCTTCTATCCGGATACAGATTGGGCCAATTCTCCCATACGATCGAAAAAAAATCGTTCTAATTCCGCCCAAAACAATTCCAATTCGACATACCCTGTTTCAGGAAGTGAGAAAATTGAATCTTTAGGAGATGGTCATAAATCTACAGAGAAACCTCGCAATAAAAGACGAAGATCAGAGTCTGAAGAAGAAACCACGGACCGCATCAAAAAGCCTCGCTCCGATCCAACGCCATCTGAAAAGTCAGCCGAGAAATACATTCATTGGAACGAATATGTCTCTGATCTTAAGACCCATTACAAGCTCACCGAACAAATGTGCGAGGAGAACCCAAAGGCGTATATGGAAACTCTGGATAGTATCATCCAAGGCTGGGATGACTATCGACAGAATATGTTGAACCAAGGTTACAAAGTACGCCCCGGAGGAGAAAGGCCCGAATCATAGGATGTTCAACAACCGTCAAGCGTTGTCCGGCCGAGTTTATTTTCAAGAATTGAAGGAACCGGTCTCACAATATACCACTAATCAGAAGGTGTGCCTGATTTCCTGATACGTCTATTGCATCGAAATGCTCTGCGAGTTTGCAAGTTTTGGCTCGGAAAACAATACTGGTCAAGGATACCTGTTCCCTACATCCACGCTAAGCAAAGTGTGTCCGGCGATAGGTAGATCCGTCGGTTCTTATGTCCCCGCGACTATTATTTGCCGACTATGAGATTCAACTTCGTATTTCTTTATTGGTGTACCTCATACTGTTACCTTCCAAGAGATCCAAACCCGCTCATCTAGCTTTTACCAACGATTCATGCGTACTAGTCTTTTATTTGAGGGGGAAAAAAAGGAACAAACTCCAACACCTGACGGATCTTTGCTTTAATACGAATGTTCGATCGGCGGTTTATGTTTCATTTGAGTCATGTATTCTGTCTTCACTATTTACATTGGTTATCCTTCATTCTTTCTGGCGTTTATCCTTGTATGTCTCAGAGTACTATTAAATAGTTTTTCATCTAACAAATTGTCCGATCTTTGATATCCATCAGATTCTATGCACTTCAATATGCAATAGCATCCAGACCGAACCAATCCCACGGAGGCTCTACACATATATTTTATTCACATCGAATTTTTCCTATCCAAGATGTCGTATGTTCATAGACTCACTTCCACTCGATGTGATTATCATTTTGTGGGTTTCATCTCCCAATCCAACCACCTTTGCGACAGAAACCTATCTGGAGCTACCAGCGGTTTCGCCACATCACGGCCTTGCAGACTCATTCCTCTGCTTCTTTTGTGTCCAGCATCTTGGGCGATAAAACGCTCTGCTAGCGGTATATAATTCCAGGAAGCAAACTTGGTCGGTACTTGGCACATCCGATCCGGATGATGCTACCTATGAGACGGCTCAGAAAGCCGAACAAAGAGAACTACACCATTGCGAAGGCCTGGAGGCCGATTTCCCTCCTAGCGACACTGGGAAAGGTACTGGAACCAGTGGTCGCAGAAAGGATCTCACACGCAGTGGAGACCTACGGTTTGCTCCCGACCAGCCGCTTCGAGGTCCGTAAGCAACGGTCAGAGGAGCAAGCACTCTTACTCTTGCAAGAGCAAATCTACGCGGCGTGGTGTGGCCGACGGGTCTTGAGCTTGATCAGCTTCGACGTCAAAGGGCCTACAATGGCGTCTGCAAAGAACGATTGCTCCAGAGGATGACAGCGCGAGGCATACCGGAGGTTTTGCTTCCGTAGGTCGAAGCGTTCTTGTTGTGATATGAGGCTGGTGCAGATCAGGAACCAAGCCGAACCATCAGAATTAATCCCGAGATATCTATACGAAGAAGCAAGTTGATTGGAAATCAACTTGTTCTTCTCGTTGTATATATATAGCCTAATGTTTCCCTCTGAATAAAAACACAATTAATACCTCTGAACTACAACGGTTCTGCTCGGAACGGATGGCGACCATCCAAATCAATGGGCAAGCATCAAGGGACAAAATGTGGAACCGAAAGACCATGTCAAGATCCTCAGCGTCCTGATGGACACGAGACCCAAATACAGGGAAGATATCGCGAGGGCAGCGTCCAAGGGCCTTGAGGCAGCCATGGAGCTTCGTCGATTTCGAGGTCTATCCCCAACAACAGCACGGCAGCTGTTCGCATCAACAGTGGCCCCCTGTGATAGACTATGCCTCTAATGTCCGGATGCACGCTTTCAAAAATAAGGCCATTGGACCAATCAACCGAGTCCAAAGGGTAGGAGCGCAAGCCATTGTGGGGGCTTTCCTCACAGCTGCGACCAGCGTGGCGGAAGCGGAGGCTCACATTGCCACTGCGCACACCGGTTCTGGAGACGAGCTGTGAAGATCTGGACGAACATACATGCCCTCCCAGAAACCAATCTGATCCGCAGGAATACGGCTCGGATCAAGAAATTCAGAAGATACCACCGTTCGTCGTTGTATCAGGTGGCAGACGCGCTGAAGAACATCGAGATGGAAAGGAGACCATCAATCCGTCTACGTTAGCACCATGGGAGGAACGTGTGCAGAGCGATTACCATGAAATTCCAGAGACACAGACCGAAACAGGCGGGGTGAGTCACGCAGGTCGCGGTCAGTAGCTCGGCACAGAACCAGGTGGTAGGAATTGGCGTGGCGATTGAGAAGCAGCCACCTCGGTACATATAAACTGAAACTGAAGACCTTCTCTGTCACGCTGGGCGCAAGAGCAGAGCAGAATCCGTACTCTGGGGAGTTGGCAGCAATAGCGCACGCATTGAGCACGTTAGCGGGGTTGAAGCATTACAGAATCACGCTGCTCACGAGTAACAAAGCAGCGGCACTCATGCTGAAGAACCCTCGACAACAGTCAGGCCAGGAACACATCTGCCAAATATACAAGCTGATTAGGAGACTCCGGAGACACGGAAACGAAATTAACATCCCTTGGGCCCCAACTAGCGAAGGTAACCAACTGTTGGGCCTGGCGAAAGAGCAGGCCAGGGCCGCGACCCAAGAGGACGCTACCCCACAAGCACAGGTCCTCGAATGAAGTCAACCACCCTGAACATCGCACGATCCCAAGCAGCCACCAGCAATGGCCTACCAAAGAACGTAGGGCGACATGTCAAACGAGTGGATGCAGCACTCCCAGGGAAACACACCCGGCTACTGTATGATCGATTATCCTGGAAAGAAGTGAGCGTGCTGGCCCAACTCCGGACTGGCATGGCTAGACTCAACGATCTCCACCGAATCAATGTAGCGCAGACGGATCAGTGTGCATGTGGACAAGCAAGAGAGACCGTGGAGCACACTTCCTCTTTCGATGTCGGAAGTGGACCACGTACCGGACGGAAATACTGCAATGTACGCACACCCACCGAGGCAACATACCTTTCTTCCTGGGCGGTAAATCGCCTTCGGATGATCAAAATTGGGCGCTGAACCTAGAGGCAGTAAAGGCCTCAATACGTTTTGCAATCGTCAAGGGCCGACTCGACGCCACTTAGCCATGTCGACGAACACGAATCGCTAAGTCACCCCCGATCTAACCCCCACCAACCATCCCGTGCTAGAAACGGTAGACGCGCTTCAACTGCCGAGAATAGGATGTTGAACACTTGAAGAAGCGCCTTCAAGCCAATCTACTAACTAATTTACTCACCCACGAGGATCCATCACGATATTGGCAGGCTGAGATGTCATATACTGGAAGTAACCATGTATGGGCTCTAAGGAGACACGGCATATACTACGGACATGTTTTGGTAGATTAGTGATAGTTGCCCTTTCGGCTGAGCCGCCGGGTGTTAATGAATTGTGTGTGTGTGTGTAAACGGTCACTCATTTCGCCAAGTGCAGTCACTAACAGCTTGTCTCAAGCGCCAAGACAGGCCGCGTGTTTAGTCAATTTAATTGGTGGTAGTTTCGATGCCGACCACCGGAAAGCGGTTGTTGAAATCACTATTGGGGCCCTGAAAGGTCTACTACGGTATCTTTTTGTGTGTGAAGCGAACGAATAGTGAGGTCAGGTGACGAATCTGCCCAGCAGAGCCATCTCAATATACAATTATGCCCGTGCGCCCGTACGGAACTTTTGCTTTTCGAGAATCGCAGTTTGATTTCTCAGCTAGATAATGTCCTCGAGTGAGAATATTGATCAAAAATGAGCTTACCCAGAATGAACTATCTATTGCAGGGAAACAAAGTTCAAAATAATTTTTAGCAGGATGTTGTAAAATGTCCCAAATGTAATGTATATAATCAACCATGAATTTACACCATCCCGGGTGTCCCCGCATAATTTCAGAACAAAATGCAGTAAGCTACTAGTTCGTTGAGGTCAGTTCTCGCCCGCAACGTTTTCCACGTCGCTTCCATATCCCAAACCAGATATCCTGCCCGGTGACTTCGAAGCGAGCATCGCATCGTCAAAAGGGGTGACGTGACTGCGTGTCTTGGCAAGAATGCGAATTACACGGTCAAGAACGATGCTGTCATACAGTACTAGTAAGAGCTGGCAAACATGTGGCAAAGCAGACTGGCTGATAGAGCCATATTTTGCGGAGCCAGGCCCAAAAGCCATTCTCGTCAACAATTGAGATAACTTAGATAGCCTGCACAACTTAGAAACCCCAAAGTCCTACTACAAGCGTTAGAGAAAGAATTTCCTAAGAGCTGGAATACATACCAACAAAGAAGATAGAAGGTTAGAAGCCGGCCTTTAGATTGTCATACTTAGAGGCAGGATAGCTCAGCTGATTCTCGCTCTTGTCCAAAGCGCCAGTGCCTCCAATAGTATTCACAACCTGCAAAGCTCCAAGTCAGTACAGTTGTCATTTATCATATATGACGCAACATACCGTGGCGACCAAACTATCATCCCCTTGTTTGTCACCGCTGAGCTCCCACCACATGCCACCACCAAGGCCCTTGGACTTAATATACTCACCCTTCTTACGCGCAATCTCCGGAGTATCATAGCTGATGAACAAACGAGAGACTGAGTTATAGCAGTAGCTAGATGCTTCTTGGTCCAGATTTGTGATCGCACAGGAGGGCTGGGGTAGAGACTTATAGTCCCACACACCCTTCTCCCAGCTCCCAGCACCAACACCATTGGAAGATTGACCAGGACCGTTGGTGTCAGTGAAGGCCCGGCCGTATAGCGGCATACCCAGGACAATCTTGTCAGAGGCAATTCCGTGCGATGTGTAGTAATCGATTGCTTGGTCCGTGTTGAATGGAGTACTGGCCGGGTTGCCATTGGATGCATGGAGATTGGCAGCGTGGCCTGCAACGACTCCTCGGCATCCGGCAGCGATGTCCCAGCATCCGGCATAATCGTAAGCCATCAGGTTCCAGAAGTCGAGGTACTGATCCATCTGGGCAAGGTCCTCTCTCTGGTAGTTGGAAGGGCCTGGAATTGAGTTAGTAATTTAAAATGTTTCAAAGGAACGACACGTACCAGCAGGGGATGCAGTAGTGAGTAAGAAATGATAACCTGCTGCGTTGGCCGAGCTATATGAATCCAGGGCCTGAAGCCATCGCTGTTAGCAGGGTCAGCAGAAGGTGAGCGTAAAAATACATACCTCACGAAGACGGCGTAGGGTATCAACAAATTGGCCCGCTTCTTTATTATTGGCAGGGTACTGTCTGATATCAGCATCAAACACCGTGAAAAAAGGTAACAAACTCACTTCAAAATCAATATCAATACCGTCAAAGCCGAGGTTCTTCAGCAGTTTGACAGAACTATTAGCGAAATTCTGACGTCCCACCTCAGTCTCAAAGGCTGTTCTGAGGTTGGAAGAATAGGACCATCCTCCAATTGACAGAAGAACCTTGAGCTTGCGGTTTCTCTTCTTGAGTAGAAAAAGCTGCTTGACACAGCCATAGACATTGTTTCCGGTATCAGCCCAGGAATCTGTGGAGTAATGCTTGTCAGTGTCCGACCAAGTGTCCGACAGAATTACCTCGCCAGAGGCTTGAGCATTGGCAAACGCGTAGAGAACATGCGTCAGTTGTTCAGCAGGGATATCATGAGGCTGGAAGTTGCGATCATAAATGCCCTGATTACGTTGAGTTAGTTGCTCTGGTTTAGTGGTGGCGTATATAGGGGAGATTCATACCCAGTTCACAAAGTAGGCCACGGAGCGATATCCATTAATATCCCGAGTAGCGATGTCAGTTGCATTGGTCTTGGCCAAGGAGGGACTGTGGGCAGCATTGGCCAGCCGCGTCAGGCCCAGCAAAACAGGAAGGATAAAGTGCATGGTGAAGAACTGTCAAAGCTGTATCCGACGATATGGGTCGGTCCAGCAAGCTCTGGGAAAAGAGGGTCTTGTCGTTAATGGCTTTGAGGCAGCGAGAAGCCATATTAGTTGTACTCGAGGTCGACAAATAGTCACCTGGCCATTTTATCGTACAATAGGGAATTATCGACCCCTCAAAAATGGTTACAGATGAGAATTTGCAGCGTACATAGTTTAAAGCAATGCCATCACTATGCCATTTATTGCGAGAGTATACCACAGTACATTCTGTCACACCCTTTAGACTAGTCCACGTGTGCGTCTTCTGAGCATCATGGGATGAGATAGGCCCACTTGAATGTCATCAATAAACTGCACGGGTCTGTCGCTGCTATTTGACATGATCGGCCTGTGACTTACGCTTCCTCCAGCAACAGGATAGACTCCTTTCCGTAGTGCTGGGAATCATTGTCCAAACAAGTATTGTTCCAAAAGGCAAGATCTGTCCCTGGAGGACGGCATTTTGCCTTGGTCTGTTGCATCTAATTCGCGTTCTATTCATTTGCTTCTATCCGGCGAAATGTCTTCAGTGAAAATCTGTTAATCCGTCTGGGGCAAATTGAGCGCTACTTGCTGTAATCCCTTTGATCTTGCCCTAATGCCAGTTAGTAAGGGGCGTTTAAAATGATACCTAAAGGGCGGGTGAGGCGCCGGAGGTCAAGTAGACCCATTCAAGCGCCTTTTTGATGCACATATCCACACGGACTGTTCAGGGTAGTAAATGACCGTGTGGTGAAATCAAAAAAAAAAAAAAAACTGGCCTCCAGACTGCTGTGTTGACCAAGATTGTGTTCGTCCGTGATCGTCAATTAGGAATTAAATATCCTTCATAATTGCGCAGATATTACAATTATTATCTTTACGTCTTCCAGATGTCTAAATAGCTGTTCAAATTATCTCGTTATACACGTTGCCGGTTCGACGGATAGGGCTTTGGTAATGCAATGTACAATCAATGGATATCAAGAATGTATGACATTCACCAAGAGGCGCTTAAGTAATGGCAGAGAGATTAGTGTATGATTCGACCAAATGAACAAATGTTCAAAAGTGGTTTGAAGTAAGATTATCCAGAGTAGATAAGCCACGGCTAGCTTTCCGCACTCCGGTCCCTGTTTGAGTAGTTGTGTTTTTGCGGAGATACTATCCTCTACGCAATGATTACCATCCAATTACCCATGCCGAAGTCGTTACAAAACAGAGACAAACCCTTTTTCTCGAGAAAAATTCAAGACCATCTACTGTAAGAGGCGCCTCTACGCCTTTGCAACCAGCTGAAATGCGAGGATGTTTTTTATTGAATCAACTTGTATAAACTTGTATACAACTGGGAGTGTTTAGTCTGGAAGCAACTATTATCGGTATTACTCCTCTTCCACAATTATCTATTCAAAGTGTTCAATATTGAATCTACGTTGAGGCCATCCAGACGAAGGAAATGGTGCTAAATACCAGGAATAACCCTATCAAGTATATATAAGCCGAATAGATTTCATGGGACCATACTGCTATACTAGCAGAAAATATAAGAAATGGTTCACTATATCCACGTGTGTGGCAGGCAGCATGGAATTACTACGAATACTACACAACAGCAGATCCAACTTCTGGAGCAGGTCATCAAACACAAATTTGGGGAAAATGCTCAGTGCCACGGGATTTGCTATCACCAAGATCGCATACGACCCCATCCATCCTGGCTCCGAAAAATCCTTGTGTATGCATGTGCTGGGGAAAGAGGATTAAACCTTTTGAACCAGGTGTGGTACAACACTTGGATATTTCGCATCAACCTAAAGATTGAAGGTAGTATGGATAAAGAGTCCACACGGGCGCTGCTAGGGTTACATATGAAGGTGGAGAGGATCGATTTTACAGGAAGAGGACCAAACGAAACTACAAAGCGCATGCGGGATTTGAGAGATGAGATATCACGCTTAGCTGATGGTTCAGCGAACACAAGAGATACGAGTGACTGTCAGTACTTCGGGGAACGATTTAGCATTGGAAGGGACATCTGATGGAAGAATACAGGAAAGACGGAAGGAGGGGCTGCTGTAGAGATAACTATACCGCACATATGATGTGCCCTTCCGACTGAAGAAGCCCCCAACCATGCCTGTATGAACAAGCTTATTTGCATGAAAATCAACAAGACAATTTATAGTTCTGTTAGAAATCTTCGTGCTGGTGAACCTGCGGAGAACATACTCCTAAAGCAAGTAATTGCTGATATATCCAGGGGATAAGCTCAAGCGTTTCAACAGGCCCATTGCTAGAGTAAAAGGTAATCGGATAGAAGCCGAAATAAACTATATGATTGCAAATTGGCTACCGACTAGCAATGTTTCTCACGACTAGATGAAATATGGTTGACCTCTCAAAAGCCGTTAAGATGGACCAGTATGGCTTTCATCTTCCCGGGACATTCTACACTTTTTAGCAAGCTCGTATCCGTGAGAAAAGTCACTATCTCTTGCCTTTTTTTCCCTTTTTCTTTCCATCCTTCAATCCATCGTCCCTCATTGGCTCGGAATGGTCCAAAGGGAAGAATGGAAGAAACTTGTTTCGAGCGCGTCTGTATCTCAACGATTATCAATGGCTTTCATAGCAAAGGGAAAACTCAAAATTTGTTATCTCTATGCAATCATGCCTTGACGCAAACAAAATAACCTACGAAGCGTAGGGGCCATTGTAGCGCGATTTGCGTACCGGTCTGCGCGGTCTCGAACGCTGAGGCCGTGTGTTTGCCAAACGGGCTTGTTGCCTCGTAGCCAGCGATGCTTCCGGCGGCGACCCCGAGTCTTGGGAGAGGCGACGCAGTATAGTTGATTGCCCTCCAGATTCTGAAGCTTTAGGAGCTCTTTTAACTGTGCTAAGGCGTCGTTGGCGGCGTTCTATATCTGTAAATTCCTCCGTCACATCCCCAGAGGAACAATGAAAAGCATAAAATTGCTGATCGACTTGAGAAGTCTGGCTGTATTTTGATTAGCTTAATATCCTGTCATGTTGAAGGAAGGATCAAGGTGGGCTTTTATGCATACCATGTTGGGCACATGTAGGTAGTCTGACTATCGCGCCGAGTAACCCACTCTTCGATGCACGTTAGGTGCATGAGTTGGGTACAGCTTGTGCACTTTAGATAAACCAATCCATCCTGCCTTTCATCAAGGCAAAGTAGACATTCTTTTCCGAGTGAGCTGGGCCCTCTATTCAAAGAGCGGAGCTTGGCATATTGATTAGAGCGGTTTCTCTTTTAATAATCATCACAATTCCATGCGTAGGCAATGACTCAAAACATTCCGGACTCCTCTTAATATCGATAATATCTACGAGAGCATAGACTGGACTGGTTGAAAGTTGCGAGGGAGAAGAGGTAATCGAGGTAGTGAGATCAACAAGAGGAACGAAAGATTGAACGGCTGATCTCCTTGCGCCCTGATCGTTATCGCTGAGTTCGGAGGCATTGCCATGCCCAGCACCCGACAGATCTAGGATGATGGTGTCGTCGTCGGTGTCATCGACGGAGATGCGAGCATACTCTGTCCGTTGGATGGTGGCATCAAGCGCACCTAACGCCGTGCTATGAGGAAGAATGGGTTGACTTGAGGCTGGATTCATGTTTGAAGTGTGTGTATACCGACTATCTTCCTCAGGTTTTGAAGTATAGGCGATGAAAGTAGGTGTGTTGCATGGAATTGAACGGCGCCACAAGGCCCTTTTATACCTGATTCCTGCTTGAACAAGAGCACAAAAGAAGCCCAAACAGGTGATGAAGATAACCTAATCTCCTAGGAGTCTACTCCATATTGGCTTCGGTACATAGCCCTCCACCATCCTGAGCAGACCAATATGGCCATTCCAATATACAGCTTTGGGCCATCGGGCTCGCTAGAGCGTAAGATGCCCCACAGCTCATCGTAGCAAACGCGAAGACTCATGGAATTATTCTGTGAAGCTGCTGGGAGCAAGGACCAAAGCTAGTTTAGTTCTTGCACTACTCGGGTCACAGGGGAAAGGACTGTAACTTCAACATAGCCATGTTTGTTCGCGATCCCAAAGGTGGAACCCGAATCGAGTACAACATATGCCGCACAATTCCGTGTCCTGTACAACTCCCATGTCCCCTTATGTAACCAATTCCCAGGAGCTAAGGCAAGCGGAAGCTCTATTCTTGCTCCTGGGAGCTTAACTTCTTGACCTATATTGGCTCCTAGGAGGCTTTATGCAACCTGAGCTACTGGCTCACACGACAGCGTCCGGATAACCAACTCTTGCATCCTAGGAATCCTAACCCCCCAAACAATCTGTCCTATATCTTGTCTATAAGAACAACGTTATCCCTCGTTCTAAATTCAAACGTAGTATCATAATGTATGTCGGATGGTATATATAAAATAGCGCACCATTTCCTCCCTTTTCTCAGCGTCGATATCAGTCAATGTGGGTATCCCTGGTGCTAATGTCTACCGCAAGTCTTCGTGCATAAGCTAATAAACTTATAGATGGTTCTCCTTGACCTTCCTCTTGAAGTTCTTCTTTGCATAGCAGACAGTCTAGACAAAGCCAAGGATTTACTTGCACTGGCGTGCCTCAATCGAGCAACCAATGCTCTTTTCCTTCCCTATCTGTGCAATTTCAACGTACGCCGACAACGCAGCTCTGCCTTACTTTGGGGTGTTGTCCGAGGCGATCCAAAATTTGTAGGAAAGATGTTGCGCAATTACCAAGCGGACGCCAACACTACAGATGAAAAATCTCGCACACCCATCTTTCATGCGATTCGCGCTGAGAACGAGACCATTATTCGCATGCTCCTCTCCGATAAGAGAGCGGATATCAATTGGCAAGATCAATACAAGCAGACTCCACTGGTATACGCCATGAGCAGGAATCTTTTGTCTGCCGCCTCACTTCTACTGGATTTCAAGCCATGTCTGGATAAAAAGGATGGCAAGCAGCGGTCTGCTGTCTGGTATGCCATTGCACATTGCGATGAGAACCTGGTGCAAGTCCTTCTGGAAAAGGGCAGCGATATACGAACGCCAGACTACAAACGAATTTCACCAATTAGCCTTGCTATTGTCAACAAAAGCGTGAATATTACCCGAATGTTACTCCTCCATTCAGCGCCTAGCTCAGGAAAGTCATTACTGGAGGATGGCAATCTCAGGGACCGTCTGCTCCACCGAGCTGTACAGGCGGGCCTCCAAGATATCGTCTCGCTACTGGTTGCCAATGGTGCAAATCCCAATTTTAGGAACAGACACGGCCAAAACCTGTTGCATCAAGCCACAGAAAAAGGTTACAAAGAGGTAGTTCGAGAGTTACTTACTTATAAAAAGACCTGCGTCAACGCGAGAGACAGTTACGGTCGCACCGCCTTCCACATCGCAGCAGAATATGGCCACAAGTCAATTACAAGGCTTCTGTTGAGTTCTAGTGATGTGGATATCAACACCCTAGATGTTAATGGAGCAACAGCACTCTGTTTAGCTGTGCAGGCAAAACATACGGCCTTAGCCTTGCAGATCCTTGCAGAAGACCACGTAAATATCAACGTGGCAGGCCAAAATGGCAGGACAGTTCTTCATTATGCGGTGAGAACGGGAAATATAGCAATCATAGGTGTCCTTCTTGACCATGAGGATCTAGATCCTAATATTCGTGATGACGATGAATGGGCGCCCCTCACCTACGCTGCTTCCAATGGTGATTTACGCATGTTGGAGCTATTTCTCGCAAGGAGAGATATACAAGTGAACGTGCAACAGGCCCCTCCCCTTTTCCATGCCGCCAAAAAAGGCCATCTGGAAGTTGTACGTCGATTACTTTGTTTTGATACCATCGATGTCAATCAACAATTTTGGAACACCTCGCCTCTCTGTATTGCCTCCGAGATGGGCCACCCTGAAGTTACAAGGCTACTACTTGAACATACAACGCCACCCGACATCAATCTCAAAACTTACATGGGAGACACTGCGCTTTCCTTGGCCGCTTACCATGGACACTTGGCTATTATAGATCTCTTGCTTGCAGAAAAAGAACTGGATGTTACTGCTGCTGATAGATTTGGGGAGACGGCATTGTGCAAAGCAGCTCGGAATGGACATGAACAGGTCGTCAAGCGTCTTTACAAGGACCCTCGGGCAAAAGATGGCAGTGACGTGAGAGGCGCCATTGAAGCAGCTTCCAACTGTAGAATCGCACTTTACCTTGAAGGTCACTTGAATGAGGAGGGCGACTTCTGCACTTGGCCTTGAATTAGCCCAAAATTATACAGACTGTTAATCCATTCGAAAAAGCTACTTACTGTACATATACAACTAGTCTATGCGATAGAGTGTTTATTGTTGGGTATTGTTGGTCAGCAAATCATGAAATAGGGCGCAACAGGGTTCACTTGCAGTGTTCAGCTCATGACTCTGATCAACACTTTTTCGCCCGCTGATTAGGCTCTCATTCAACATGCTTTCCCAAGAAAGGGATGTTTATACCACGGACTGCTTGTTTGAAAGATTCGAGAATTCTGAAAGGCGTTCAAAAGAATATAGGTGCTTAATTGGCGTAGTTCAGTTATGTCACAGGCAAACGTTAGTGAACTGAAAAGAAAAAGAACTAAGAAAGTAATGACAGCTTATCATCGCATCCATTGAGTCGGGGGTAAGAGACTGGGGTTGTCAAATTTGCGTTGTGGTCCATAGTCCTGTTGATATTAAAATCGACCTTATAACCTCTCGCGAAGCCAAACAAAATGAATTTGTCCAAAATGCCCCAATTATACTAAGGCTTTGAAACACAAAATTGGAAAGTGGAATAGAAACTTGGTGAAAGTTCCAGATTCCTGTTCAGATGCAACGTAAAAGGAAGTACCACCAAGCTCTTCTGGGGTTTGTAACCTTGAGAAAATAATAACACAAAGTAGGGGTAGCGCAAGCTTCATGTACTGTAGCCCGGGCCGTATCACTATTGTTATAAACCGACATCGCCAGGGCTCACGCAAATACTTCGGCCTTTGCTCCAGAATGACTGGAATGTCCTTAAGAAGCCGCATGTTAATATGTGCCGTATTGAACCCTATATGGAAGTTTGAGCCAGATAAGCCTTCAATTCCCCCGCTAAACAGAGCATCTATTTAGGAAGGGAAGCAGAAAAAGGAGCCAGACATAAAAAGGCATCTGTTTCCATTCAGCCTCGTCGAATCTCAGACCATGAGCAAGGAAGTACCTTACTTCAGGAAGTCAGGCTGTGCTTGGAAACAGCGGAGCAGCTGAATGTCTTTTTCCCGAAAAATAGGTACAGCGAGAGCAGTTTGCACCTCCAGCTCAAATTCTGTACTATTTGCCTACAAAAGAGGTCAGAGATCTCCGACCAATCCCGGTGGGCAACGCTATCCCATGGGAGTACCTCATATATGTGGCATCAGCAACCCTAGGCACATGGACAATTAGATGCGTCGTATTGTAAGAGTTGATCTTTGTCAACGAGGCCATGACAACGCCAGAGTCTCCGAACTCCGACGTTTGGATGATGGTCGCTACATTATCGTTTACATGTGGCTGTATACGAGATAGGAAATCGCACAAGAACTCCAAGTGAATGGTAGGATGTCCCCGAATGCGGAAGCTCATATCAACAAGATATGGCCAGTAGATTCTAGGAACCAATATATCCTCAGCACGGAACGTGCCATTACAATTCGGGATCCAGAAATTGAAAAAGCACCCGTGTTGATTGCCAAAAGTCTCTGTCAAGGTATCACTTATAGCACGTCACCAAAGTCACGTTGGACTATGTGAGCAAACAATCCCGATTCACCTGGATGAAAGAAGGACTTCGCTCCATTACTACATGCTAGGATGGAGCTTAGTCCTGACGTGTTGCTCGACCATGGATGGTGGTGTGTGTGTGACAGGTGCTGAAAAATTTAGTTGCTTAAAATTCACAAATGGACGATGATGGTGTCGGGTTAAAATCAGCTTGAATGAAGATGATTTTATTTACCCCCTGAGTCATTCCATTCTTTCTTCGGAGCAGACAGGTTTTTCCACCTTGTACTGTAGCTTTCTTATTCTAGCCAGCCCGAGAGAAGCACGGTCTATGGTGGGCGAAGAGGGTGCTATCCTGTAATCTCCTGTACTTCCACGGATAGGAAGATTAGGATATAATCAATATACAAACCAAAGTTTCATTTCAGCTCGGCGCCCGCAAAAGGCGGCTAGTACAACCCGAGAAACCGCTTTTGACTCCCCTTGTACTTGGGGCCCGCTTGCAGGCTGTTACAATTTGCATGGACAAAAAAACCCGCGAAAGTGTCCCAGCCAGATGTGCAGAAAGAAGAGTGCTCAAGAGAGAATAAGAAGTCAATAATGATTGAGACGGAAGCTGATTTGGATTACCATTTACAGCACATCAGTTTTGTACGTACAGTAGTTTTCGAAATCAGTTTGACCTTACACTCTTTAGACTTGATTCCCGGAAAATAAATCCGAAATACGCTAATCCTGTTTAGGGGTACCGCTCTATTAGTTAGGCAGACTTTTAATAGTAATGACTATACCACTTCCAAGGACGTATTGTAATCAATCTGTAATGATACGTTGAATCTCCTAGAACCTTTTGGTAGATCTAGCGATCTGGCAAGATCGTCTGCCCGCTTTCCGCCTTCCCGCCAGTCCAAGGTTACCACTTCCCCTCATTCTTCCCATATACAGCATAGCCTTCGTGTCAAGGTCCGGGTGGATTCAAAGATGGGATGAATCACGAGAGGAACCAGTTGAGTAGCCTGGATATCAAAAGCCTAGAGCAGAGATACTCCGCTTCTAGTTGCACAGGTCGCTCTAAGTTTGCCTCGTGTTAAAATTATATTATCGTCAAGTCTTGCGATCGCTAGGCAATTACTTACTCCTAGCCTATCGGGGCAGACATGAGGTCGCCAACTCCCCGACTCCAAGGTACATCCCCACTCACAATTGCACCCAAAGACGTTGCAATAAGTTCCCGCGTGAGAAACAGAGTCAACGTTATAGCATCCTGCACTCCGTGCATCTTTCCGGGCGTCGTCGCGGTTGTAACAATTGGCGGGCGGGTCAATTTCGCTATTGTCCCGTTGCTGTACTTCTTTACCTAACACTAGGCCCAGAGAGCAAGCCGTGAGGAAGATGGTCAACTTCATCGTGACAGATAGAAGTTTGCTATAAACGAATCTTGTGTAGCTGCGGAGTTGTCTCAATTGTGCTGAGGCAACAATATTGCGGTAGGTCATACATGCTCTTTATACTCGATAGGATTGACGCTAAGCCCACATGCAAGGGGTTGGGGGCTGGGATAGCAGAGAGTAGGTCCGTCCTTTCCAGGGGGTAGGGTGGAAAAAGAGACGTGTCATATTACGGAGTACACATTTTCAGGTAATCCTGCAGCTACAACAACATCTCCCCCAAATTAATTGGCAGTCACTATGTTATGAACCCGGTCGTCATGTTTGCTCTGCTAAAAGCGGTGAAGGATAGCTACGTGGCGACTGTACCTGTGTTGATGTGAAAACGTTGCTTTTTCCTTCACTAGATGCGAATGTTAGTCCTCTCCCAATAGCGTCTAACTCGATAGTTAGCTCTCAATTGTCCACCTGGAAGTCTCGGCTGTGGGTCCCGTAGCACAGAATATCTTGCATGCCGATTGAAGGTTGGTTCTGTAAGATCCTGAGTGCCACAGGGCCCCTAGCATGCATGAGGCATTGAGAAGATTGGCGCGAAGGCCGTACAGTACCGGAACGTCGTAGGTAACCTAGGCCTCGCCGCACTCATGATTGTTAGATGTGGCTTGGTGTTTGAGGGAGGATATGTCCAACTCCACAGCTTGCTCGATATTGTGTGCTGTAAATGGCCTCTAGCACTCTCTTCTTTCGCACTGACCACATTAATACACCATTCAAGAAAAGTATCAAATCCTCGCTCCAGGTCTTTCTCGTAGTAGTCCATGTTACGCTTAATGAACCCCTTAAGCTCAGCAAAAACTCTTCAATTGAGTTCAGGTCCGGCGAATTGTGATAGTATCTACTTGCTGCATTCAGCCTGTTCAGCCATTTCAGATGTAGTAAAAGATTCGCTGTCTATTATATCACGGATAAGAATGAGCTTTGAAGGCGAGAGTCTTAGAGCTATATCGTCTAGACTAATAACGGTAAGCAGGGCGCCATTGTGCAGGAAGTTGCAGCTTATCGTAAAAGGAAGAGGGGAGAGGCCCGAGAGGAGGTACCGTATATCTGCTAATTTCTTGTAAAATACACCGCCTATAGTACTGAGGACGTATTGTAAAATACATAGACTATTATAGAAAGCGGTCTAGATTAAAAGCCTTAAAATAACACCCAATCAGAACTCGCATATTTAGGATTTATTTTCCGGGAATCAAGTCCAAAGAGTGTGAGGTCAAACTGAATTCGAAAACCACTGTACATGAACAGAAAAATTGTTATAACAAATGTCCATGGTAAAGAGAAGTACATACACTGTACAGCACCATCCCTCGTCGTGGGCTTCAGGGTTGGAGCCCCCTTTTACTTTCAGGTAAATTATACCCTAGATACCTACCTGCATTTGGTAGAATGTGTATTTTATGAAGCAGCCTAAAATGTCGGACTGTCTGCGTAACCTGGTTCGCTTCTCAGCGTTCACTCAACAATTAAAATTAGAATATAGATCAAGCGCTCTGTAAAGACTCGGAAAGACCTCCTGATGGTAAAGAACCTGTAGATAACGATACACAACATCCGTATATTGGCTCTTGGTATGTTCTACTGATATACAAAACGGGATATAAGAAATGCTCATTCAACTCTGCATGATGCACAATTGTAACTCCAACTATAGGGCAAGATAAGATGTGAAAAGCTGCCAGCATACTGCAATACTAAACCTGATAAACTCTGATTAGCCGGTGGCTCGCACTGGCAGTGCGATATTGATATCACATCGGATGGCGGTATGTAGCTATATCAGGCGACTGCAGATTTGCAAGAGCACGTGCATGCCGGGGTAGACGCGAGAGTCGGAGACTGATTTGCAAGGGGTGTCTCAGTAGCCGGATTACTGGCTGAGGTTGAAGACAAAGATTGACTGTTTGCAGGCGTCGACGTGAATATCGGAGTTGAAGATTGATCGGCACGGGCTGTTTGAGAAGCGGATCTGACAATTGCAGTTGAGAACGAGGACTGACTGCCTATAGAGATTGGTGTGGGCATCTGAGAGGAAACTGTATTACCGATGCTACATTTACTGGGCACCTGAAGACCGTTTTCTAGCATACAACTAGAAGTGTCTCCCTCTCGATTGAGGAAAGTCACGGTGCCATTTTGGTTCACTGTCACCCAGGCGACCTGCTCTCCATTTTCAGTGCCGCAGATGTCAACTTTCACCGACTTATCGTCGGAACCGGCACCAATGAAACCTAAGGGTGTTAACAACAGCCTGAGCGCTTTTGGTTCAGATTGGGTACTCACTCGAGCAATCTTTGCCTTTCAGGTTAGCAAAGGTTGCTGAGTAGCCTGTACAGCCGTGGTTACTCTGGGACCACACTCTACAGTTGTTTTCGCCGTCAGTGCCTTGAATGACAGCCAAATAACTGCCTGCCACAACATTTCCGATAATGAAAAGGTAATTGAAGGAACGCATTTTGGACTATACGCGACTTCAAGGCAAGCAAGTATGATGATGGTGGCGACTGGCTGGGGCCGAGGATTATTTATGTCCGAAACTGAATCCTTAAAGAGATATTCAATTCTTTTACTGACCCCTCTGAACGGAAAAAAAGGAAGAAAATAAAAAATCAATTACTTGTGGGTCGTGTCCTTGTGCCATAACTCTCAGCAGTACAGCCGATAGGCCGATTGATTTGTGCGGAAGTAGGCAGCTAGCTCACATGCCGGTGGTGTCACTTCCAAACTGCCCGAATTTGCGCGAACTGACTTACTTAGACTGAATAATGTTTTACTGTACTTGCATTTTAGAGCAGAGTTTTCATTGTTGAGACTTGACGCCCTTGACGCGCAGGTTCATCACAAATCAGACCTCCTATTCGTTTGAAAATATTATAATTGCGTTGCTCGTGATAATATTGCGTCGATATTTCTCGCGAGGCACTACACGTATCATCGCATCCTTGAACACATATCAAGTCATGATTTGCTTTCGCTATTTTTGAATGCTGATAATTAAGCTAAAAACAGCTGGGACAACATGAGGGTGCCCTTTAATACTGGTAGTACCGCCACTAATAAGCCCATCCAAACCTCGCTAGGTACTTCCGTCGCGTCACCTTATAAAGCCCACAGAGCATGTTCTTCTTTCAGTTCTTAAACTAGGCCCTGTCCCTAAATAAACGTCAATAGACCCAGCCGCGTTTTATCTTCTATTATCCTTGCCCGCATCCGCTGAGATTGCTCATCCACAGCGTCCCATTGGCTGTATGTTTGAACATACAAAGTCTGAGCTATACTAACCAAGAGAGCTTATCGCTTCATCTGCGGAAATATACGAGTGCTGGAGTCATTGACACAAACTCGCTCCAACACGTATATGCAGCGGTTCATAACGTAGCATACCTTCAAACTTTCAGCACATATACACTCGCGCCCTCTCTTCCTGAATTATGGCCCGTCAATCTGCACTAAGATGAAGCCAAACGAACATACCGAGAGATGGTATGATGCCTACCGGATCGAAAAGCTCGGTATCCATTCCGTGGTACCTTATCTAATATAGCCCACTAGAACAAGGGGTCTTTCGTAAATGCGCCGTCGTTGCGTGACTTAAAAAGCAGATACCAAATGGCAAGATCAATCACTTCTAGTCTGAAGGGGTCATTCGGAAGAGGGGCCATGCGGAAGAGGGAACCATGCGGAAGAGGGAACCATGCGGAAGAGGGAACCATGCGGAAGAAGGGCCATGCGGAAGAGGGTCATGCGGAAGAGGGCCATGCAGCGATGTGGGGCGATTTTCAGTTCCCAGCCTTATAAAAGCTTCCTCCCACCCATCTCTCGTCTCTTTGTTTTCCCTGTGCCCCCCCCCCCCGAGTTTTTTTCCCCCTGCATCAACTGCATCCATTCACCATGCCCAAAAACAAACGGGCATCATGCGACCGTTGTCGTGAACAGAAAAGGCAGTGTGACCTTTCGTCACGTATGGCGAGGCGAGAAGAATGCTGCTCAAGATGCGCAGAGCAGGGAAGCGAATGCCATTTTGAAAGGTCGGAAGATATCCTCCCACGCAAACGCCAATGTTTGAAGCCAGAAAGCCAGCGCACGGGCTCCAGCTCGCGTCAAGAACGAGATTTCTCTGTTGTCACTTCGCGGACCTCATCGCGCCGTCTGGATGTGGACCACGAGGCCACGAGCGCAGATCACCGTGCAAGTATTGGTCCTCTCATCGAGCATCGAGATGCTCCTTTCTCATCGCCAGAAATTCCATCCACAACGATGTTGGTGGACGAAGCACTTGAATACAGTCCGCAGTGTTCGAAAAGCCCTATTGCACTTAGCTCTGAAGGGACTTCGTTCCTCCATCGTGTCTTTTCCAACGATCCTGAGCCACATCCTTCGGAGCATACACCACCCACTAGCATGGGCCCGGGAAACCCGATGTCTCGACCGCCAATCTCAGAGAGAGGATCCACCTTGGTGGTTCCGAAGCCCCCTTTACTCCACTTCAGATCCACTGCTTTCGACTCGGCGAGAAGCGTTGTTTATCAATCAATATCAGGTCGCAAGGGTCGCTCTGCTATGAAATTATTTGAGTGCCTTTTTAAGGTGCCCGGCTTCAACCTAAGGGACTGCTTGGATTCGCTGCATGCTTACTTTGATTTCCCGGGCCTCTGTCGCCCGTTTATTCCCGAAGAAGCATTTTGGGAAGACTATAAAGCAGTCCGATGTAGTCCGGCCCTTATATTAGCTATTGCATGCCGCGGGATACCTTTCACAGAGGCAACAGACAAGTGGGAAAAACAGCAACTTTTTGCTACCTCATGTGTGAAAGAGCTTATGAGGGCTAGAACCAATAGGGCTGCCACCGAAACAATGCGCCTGGATGATCTCGAAGCGATGGCCCTCATCATCGATTTCGAATACGACGGCAGACATGCAGGCTTCAACCGTTGCTGGAAGCCGTTCATGACCCGTGATGCTCTTGTGCTGATGACCCTGCAATCTCGCAAACGAGGACCAATGAACTCCGATCCTTCTGCAACACTGGCGCATGCCGACGCACGCTTTGCACTTCTGTATTGGCATGTGTATAGTCTGGATTCATTCAAGTGCCTTGATTGCAAGAGCATATCTCTGATCCCCAATAACGCCTCGGGTCTGGCAATGGATCTTTCTGGATATCAAGCTGAAGGCTACCTTGATGCGATTCTGAGCTTGGCAATTATTGCGCGGCGCATCAACCAGACGTTCTGCAATGCCACAGTTAGAGGCAAGGGTATTGAGTATAGGGACGCTGAAATACTCTACGAGCAGCTTTTCCACTGGCGCACCAGCATTTTGCCTTCGGATTTGCGACGACCAGTGGACAGAGGGGCTGAGTCCCCAGCGGAACACCGCGCCGTTAGGGAATCTACTCCCATACCTGCTAGCAGGCAGGTTCCTGTTCGTCGTGCAATTTTGTGGGCTCTTGAAATCAATTGCTACTTGCAAATCGACGATTGTGTCGTCCAGTATGGCTTTGAGGACAGAGCCTCAATTCGCGCCAAGGCGATGGCTCACCGTGTGGGGTATGAGAGCCACAGGGTTGCGCTCGAAGCAGTCGATTTGGCCAATGTGATTAGACACCGTCGTCCGGGGAACCAGGACGCCAAAAACGCCGAAGAAAGGCCGTTGGTTGATATTGCACCGTCTGTACTACGGGATGTCTGCGCTAGAGCATGTGGTTGGATTTGTTTGCATGATGAAGACCCCTTAAAGCTACAGACTTCGCATATGTCAGCAAATGTCAAACACGAAGTCCCTGTCCAAGCTTCGGGGGAAGAGACCAAGAGACGAAGGGCAGATCTCGCCGAAATGGGAAAGACGCTTCGGGATACCGTGGCCGCAGCTTCATCCCATAGAGATACGGAGAAGATGGTTAAGCGCCTGGATAGTCAACTAGCTATTTTGCAGGCAGGTTAGGCCAGTTATGATGAGCTGATGCTTGTAGCTCAATAAAATGGCTAAGCCTTCGTACATTAACTGTTACCGTAGTACCGGAAGTCATAGAAGAATGAAGCAGGGGCCAGGCACTTGTTGCAACTCTCTGGTTTCGTTCAGACATGGAAACCAGCCGTGGGGAAAGACTACTTGCGGGTGAAACAAAGACGTACCTTAAAATGATCGTTGGATTGTAAGGTTGATTTTTTATTGATGCTTTCATGTGTCACTGATATTTTTGAGGCACCAGTTGGAGAGGAGGTAAGTTTCATAAATAGGGGGCAAAATGCAGACCTAACCTCCCAATAAAATTCGGTGGCTTTGTGATGGCCCGAAATAGAGTCACATTTTTGGAGGGCATATCCTGTGAGGCTTGGCGTCATGCGCCGGGTTGTGCAGCTAGCTCCACTGCTTAGCAGCTCAAGGAACATTGTTGAATATCCTGGTCACTGACATGATCACGGGGGCTGTGATCACGTGTATATACCTGTATACCGGACTACTTGTATCTAATACAACAACAACACAATCAACTCCCTCAATAAGAACACCGAAGCATCATTTATCAACCAACAGGTATGCTGACTAAGACCCACCCAGCCCACGGGTTGGGTTTTCGTGGGCGGGTTTTGGCGAGGCCTACTCCAGACTTTAGTTGAAATCACGTGTGATCGCGTTCCTCCCGCGCGTCCCCTTAACTCTCTCTTTTTCGAACCGCCCTCTCCAAAATCAACATGGTGGCAGACAAAGGACTGTGTCATGTCAGATCAAATAAGATCGAGCTTGATTTCAGAACACCCTATTGGGGATGGCTTGAAGGGCTTTCGTGCCACGTTCACCTCGATCTGTGAAGGTGCGGACTTGCGCTCACCAGATGAGGCCATCGATAGGCTTAAACGGGAGGGTGAGGCACAAGAAATTATCATGAGTCCTCCTTTTTGCTAACTTGAGTGCAGATGTGCAAGATCTCGCCTCCAGCCTCCTAACAGCCCTTCAGATCCTTCCCATCGCCCGTCTTCTGCCGTCCAATTCAGGAGGAATCGTTCGGAGTAACCTGCTTCGACTCATATCCGCCGTCGCATCAAATGATTTCGACCTCGAACGAATTAAACCACTGCTCAAAATATCTATTGCGGACGCGTCAACAGATGAACAGATATGGAATCTGGTGGATGCTGCCGCAGCGGAATCTACGCCACCCCCTCGAACGATTGCCTCCTCGCTCCAGCAAACGCCATGGCTCCACAAGACGAGTAGCTTTGCGAACTCCTCGGAATACCGCCAAGACGTAGACAGGGTCCTCAAGTCAGAGCTTGGACCTCTGTATGTAGGGCTCCCGCATTTTCGATCAACATTTTTTGGAGGCGTCAGTGGTCTTCAATCCGCATCCAATGCCGTGTTTCAAAGATGCACAGAAGGCAGCAATGCGGCTTTTGCAGATGGGTGGAAAGGATGGCCAAATAACGCAAACCAAGAAGATGTCTTGAGCTGGTTTGCAGATCTGAGCGAGAAACTAGTAACATTCTCAGCAGACTATGCTCCCGTTTCGGCGCACCTGCGAAGGCCACTCGCACAGCCCAACAAACCCGTCCAGGGTTCCACGGCAGAGCGCAAGCTAGATATTGGGTTCGTGAGTGACACTAGCGCTGGAAAGGACACCCGATGTCAGTGGTCACAGATTCTCGTACCCGGAGAGCTAAAAAGCAATCCTGCCGCTGACACCGCTTCTAAGGCATGGCTTGACTTGGGAAGATATGCTAGGGAGGTCCTCGCGGCTCAAGATACCCGTCGCTTTGTTCTGGGCTTTACAATATGTGGCTCCTTCATGAGGATATGGGCCTTTGATCGTCTTGGAGGAGTCGCATCCGAACGATTTGATATAAATGAGGATGGACTCCAGTTTGTGTCGACTATTCTCGGGTTTCTATGGATGAGCGAGGAAGACTGTGGATTTGACCCCACAATCATCACGAAAGATGGCCAGCGGACCATTGAGATAGAGCAGAACGGTCAGACCGAATGTCTCGTCCTCGAGAGATTGATGACACGGGCACCTTGCATCGCAGGTCGAGCAACAACATGCTGGAAAGCGCATCGTAAAGAGGACCCCGGGATTCCACTAGTTGTCAAAGATTCTTGGCAATACACAGAGCGCGACGAAGAAGGCGAACTTCTCAAAGAAGCCAGCGAACGAGGGGTGGTCAACGTCGCACGGTATTATCATCATGCGACGGTTCGTGCCCGTGGTAAGACTGATGATGTCCGGGACAACGTTCGAGGTGGCTTAGACATCAGGACCGCGAGCAATTATCGGCCAGAACAATTGTCGCTCTCGACTGGCACAAGTGCAACCGTTGCTCCGCGAAAGGGCCGGAGCAGCGGCAGGTCCGGCGTGAAGCGCTCTTCCAGTCAAACTGGTACCTCGCTGCCACCTAGCAAGCGATCCTGTTCGGCATCTCCTACCAAGGCACCCAGCAACCCCCTGCCAAATCGAGTTCATCGGCGTGTCGTCCTGCGCGACTATGGCAAACCAATTTACCAAGCAAGCACTCGCTTGGCGCTGCTTGCCGCGTTAGAGGGTTGCATTGCAGGGCATCAGTCTTTGCAAAGGGCAGGAATCCTTCACCGAGATATCTCAGTCAATAATCTCATGATCAACGAGGACAAAAAGAACCCATCGTGGCCGTCATTCTTGATTGATCTTGATCTAGCCATCAGAGAGGAGCGAGACGGTGCTTCGGGAGCAAATGGAAAGACCGGCACAAGGGCCTTTATGGCAATTGGCTCGCTTCTGGGCGAGAAGCACTCTTTTATGCATGACCTTGAATCATTTTTCTGGGTAATTTTTTGGATTTGCATCCATTACGAGGGGCCGGGTAACGGAAGAGTTGTTGCAAGGTTTGATAAGTGGAATTTTGTAGATACAGAGGACCTGGCCTTTTTGAAGACAGGCCAGATATCCGAGGAAGCAGATTTTGTGAGGTCTGCGAATGAGTACTTCACAGAGTACTACCAGCCACTTATTCCATGTGTCAACACACTTCGGAAGGTGGTCTTTCCTGATGGGAGGAGATGGGCGAAGGAAGATATAGGATTGTATGGTAGGATGAAAGAGATCCTACGGAGCGCCCAAGAGGACTGAGAAGATTATTTTCTGCCGGTCTTTAGATCCTCACGCCATTTAGCTAATAATGTGTATACCATCCCTCACTATAATAATAGCTTGCACCCGATGAGGCATCGTCTCGGAGGGATGCTTAAGGTGATCTAGGCTTAATTAGTCCCATGCAAGCGTGCTGTAGCTACCAAAGTAGCTTTTGCCTGCTCCTTATTCTTCATATGAATGAGATCAGGCTCGAAGCTTATAGATCTCGGCTTTCATATAGATCTCGGCTTTCATTGACACCCAGAGGTTTTCAATTGGGTTTAAATCAGGCGAATGCGGGGACCAATCCATAGTCTCGATCTCCATATCCCGTAAAGCGTCCCAGACAACGTGCGCAGTATGCGTTGGTGCATTATTATGCTGGAAAATGCCACCTTCGTATTGAATCACAGTTTGCAATGCTCTTATTATGGTACATTATTCCGAAGTCCTCAAAACCAATGCCCGGCTCGCATAATAAGTCGGTGATGTCGAAGCATACGAATAAGGAGCGCCTCGGAATATATAGGTGTCAATGAAAATTTGGGTATCAAGAATAAGATCGCTAATCTACATGTACAATGATCACAAGTCGGATTACATGTTTCTAGACAAGACTCAAAACGATGTTCCTGCGCCTCATACAGCGGTGGCGTTTGGCTCGCCTTCTTGATCTAAAATTCAGTGAGGTCTGGATCCGTGCTAGATGATATCTGGTCCTAGGTTCTATGCTCCTAGGCACGCTATATATTGTTCCTAGAAGTAGTAATCCAAGCTCCCAGCATACCACCTCTCGTTCCCCGGAGCTATACAGTTCACCCCCGGGGGCTGGAGGTCTCAGGGAACTATGATCCTTACTCCTGGGAGCAATCAAAAGCGTGCCTGGGAGCCATGCCATGGATCCTAGGGTCGAATAGGATACCAGGAACGTGCACAAGTGGCCCAGTGGCCCACGGGCTCGTGATCAGAAGTTTTAAACAGACGGCCGACCGCCATCAACTGAAGGAGGAGTTCAATGATGAAAGGATCGTGAATGTAACCCGTTATTTTGTGAATCATGGAGCTACCTACCAACAATCTTTAGAAGGAACAACGGCCTTAACCTCATACATTTGATTCACATGACCTCCAGTCTTTATACCTATTTGGTATGTTTGCTGTATACATGGCCGCTCCGTTGTATTTGCCTAGTATGTTGATTCCTCCACTGAACAGGAATGCTCTTAATGCGGATAAAGGGTAGCATTTGATTATCTCCGGAAAATTACGGAGCCACTCATCATGTGATTTTCATTTACGGTATATTTCGAGTAAACATGCTAGGCCATAACAAGGCTAGAGCGTTGTTTCAGAGTAGAGTCTGCCCACAAAAAATGCGGGAGGATAAACTGGTGAAATGGTGAAACTGATTTCGAGGGCCCCTATACGGTTCTGTACTCTTCATCCTTCTTATACTTCTCATACTGCCGATCCCCTTCCATCTGTCTCCACCATGCATTACTCCACCGAGTACGATAACCGTTCAGGCTCTTTTGGTAGTCACAGCAATATCAGCACATTCAGCCCCAACGCCCACGCCAATGAAGACTGGTCCAAAATTTCCGATCCCGCAGAGCGCCGTCGCATTCAGAACCGCATAGCTCAGCGTAACTACCGTAAGTACCCGTATTGACTTGAAAGTCTCTTATATGTTTCTCACTTGCCGCGACCTAACAGGCAAGAGGCTGAAGCGCCGATTAGAGAATCTGGAGAGACGAGCTGGGTCTTCGGCTTCTCCAGAACAATCACACGCAAAGCCAATTTTACCAAAGTCGTCTCCGACCAAGACTCGAACAAAGATGCGAGCGTCTAAGTCTGTTGCAGATGTCAAGCCTCACATCTCGCATTCATCGGACCGACCTGCGTCCTACGAACACTACACGAATTCAGATAATCGCCAAACCGTCTTCGCTCAACAATGCACTCGCCGGCTCTCGGGATTCCCTCCACAACTCCTCTACCGTCCTTCCATGTCTCCATACGACGCCTACCGGCAATCAGCCTACTTCCAGTCTCCATTCTACCATGCTACCCCGAATAATTACAACGAAATTGCCACCTGCCAGACAGAATACAGCGATCCATTTGTTTCAGTAGTGCCTATGCTCCCTTCATTGCACACGGCGGGCAAAATCGCCTACGACGAGGATTTCACCACTCCATTCAGCATATGCTACGCAACAATAGCAGGCTTCGAACTATGCCAACAGCTGTAACAAGCACACTCTCAGAATGCTCTGCCGAATGGTCTTCCGGTACATATTTCTCGCTGAGTTCCTCCGTGCATATGGATCTAGAAATGTGCACACTCCACCGTCTCATCAGCCAGCTAATCATCTATTCTGTCTGCCCTTTTCTAGGTGCCATCACTTGCATACTACTACACGGACGATCACTAGCGACAACCTCTGTCACCAGAGACATTTCATTTCACATTCCCACTCACGCCCGAATCCACTTCATCTGCGACATGTTCCCGCTCAGTGGATTGATTGCGGGTAACGTCGCAAAGTTGAAGGTGGAGCGTATAAAAAGAGTCAAGTTATGGAGTGTATATGTGGAGGGTACGAGTAATGCATCTTGCAGTGACCTCAAATGCTCTTCGAGCGCACCAAGTCAGCCCGTTCACTATATTCCGCCTTGTTTATTATATCCAGATCCCATATCGTTGATTCAAAACGTTGGATTCGAAGGGAAGGTTGTGATCCACCATCCATGTCACCGAGGAGAGAGAACAGCGTGTAGGCTATCAGGCTATCTGTGGACCAGAACTTTCGTGAGGGAGATATATAGAGTTATGATATAATGCAACTAAACATCGAGCAAAACATTAGATAAGTTGCGCAATCCTCTTTTGATCTCACGTAGTCTTTAGAACCCTCAATTATCCCCCCAGCACTTTCAAATCTTGCTAGTGGCCGGCACACCGGCAAGGTCTGCATCAATTTGTAGATGTGCAGCATTGGCATATTGTGTATCTAAATAAAGAGCCTCAGCAGCTTACTGGTAGATCTATCAGCAATTAAGCTCTGCGTTATTGGTCTTGACAACAAATTCCGTCTGATATAAACTGCATTTAAACGCATTTTAGGAAGCCTTCCAAGTTTGTACATTGTACCATTATTTAGCTAGGCGATAATTGTCGCATCCGCTGCGATTGGACTGCAATGAAATATCTACAAATACTAACTAAATATATAACTATTACTTTATATAAGCAAGCTTCCTACTTACCGCCCCAAGTCGCGAATCGGAAGTATTCAAAACATATTCCGTCATGCCCAGTGTGGCTGTCTGCTGCAGGCCCAGAACCGATGAGTGCTACAAGGTATATACCAAGAAGGAATCTCCAGCCATGTTGTGAATCCTGTGTGTCGATATTGTCCAAGAATTCTTTAATAGCTGTCAAACGGTCCATAATTTTCACCAAAGAGGGTACTGGAAGGGTGGGTGCCCAGATATCTTTGCGAAGATCGATCACCGCGTTTGCCCTTTCTGCATCTTCTTTGTATGGTGGAGGCGCGTAGAGTTCGCTGAAAGCAGGCTGTAGACGACGTAATCGAGTATTATCAAACAGAATGTTCGCAGGTCTCATCTGGAATTTCTTTTTGATTTTTAGTGAGCCCTGTGGAGAGATATTCGCCAAAATAAAATCCTTTCATTATGCAAAGGGAGTGCAGGCTTCTCAGGTTCCAGTATTGTCCAGGAATAGTCTCACTGTCAAATTTGCGAAAGGACTCAGTCAGATCCAAGTCTCGCGTGAATGTCCCCCTCGGGAGAAGGCTCGTGTCGATGACATACAACATAATGTCGTTCAGGCTTGAGCTTGGAGTATCGTGATAGTGTCGGTAGTAGATGTACTGGATTGTGAAGAGCACTGAGCTAGTGCGTGATACGACATTGTCTTCGGCTTTATATTTATGATCATATCCCATCAGCTATGATATTTTCCAAGCGCCTCGTGGGTAGTGGTGGCTGGCGGACGAAATATGGGTTTGCTGGAAAAGGGAAGTCGAAAGGTTGAAGCCATCTCGCGGGTTGTCTGCGGACTAGTTCCCACTGTCAAGTTCCAAAGGGGAGGGCCAGCCCCGCATCAGTATTCAAGTTAAAGGTTCTAACAGGTTGTCGGGCCTGAATAAATTACATAACACGTATTGATAATTTTGTATCCCAGTAGGCTTCCAATGCCTGGCTTTTAGCCACTTCATTTTGTTCAGCCGTAATCGAGGTCAGCCAGGCCAGCCAAGAAATACCGGGCAAGTTATAAGATATATCATCAGCTTTCAGTCATACAGCCGCTCTTCAGCAGCAACAGCGCACTTTTGGCACTCGTATTCCGGTTGCATCCGTGTAGGAGGAGGATTCGGCACAGCATCTGTATCCATTTCTTCCTTAGCGATGATATCTTCGTACCTGCTTTGTAGCAATTTTGTGGCACGATGCATCGTGGCCAATTCACTGGAGGAAATAGTATCGGACGCCGAGGTATAAACAGACACCGCTTTCACGTATTGGATTGTGTCATTGATCATTTTCATACTGATTGCCGTAACGCTTGGGAGTCTTTTTGACTGCATCTCTTGTGTCGCCCAGTGTGGATGGCCTGGGGTTTGAGAGGCAGAGTATGAGTATCGACACCGCTTTCGTGAAAGATATGGATTTTCGGCAGTTCTATTTCTTATATCCAGTAGGGACTGGTCCGGGCTTTGACCCGGTTCAAAATTTTGAGGCGGCCCAGGGTAGCTTGAACAACCAACTGAGGTAGCCACAGAGCCAGGCAAAGACCGGCCACCAGGCGGTGGTAAGACGGTTTGTAGAGCCGTTATTTGCGTGAGGAAATTGATAAACGACCCGGCGGAAGCTTTCAGCGGATTCGTTGCTTGATGGGGAAAGAATTTTAGTTGATGGATTTCTCGGCAAGGGGCATCTTAGAAGAATGATACTCGCTTGCCCTGTATGATGCGGCTGATCATGTGTCTGCCCTTTCAGATTGATATCAGAAGATGACCCAATAACGTTTTCTTTGTCCATGATAATACCCCTCTTTGAGAACCGTAATGCCGACTTATGATCGACTACCGACTATTCTGTGCTAGTGACACTGTAGTAACGGCAAGATCTTGGAATAAAAGAGGTATGTGAGAGAGAAGCGACCATGAGGGCAAATCATGAGCCTTTAAATATTTCGGCCTGAAATGGCGGCCTCTACTGATAAGTCTTCCTAGGAGCTCCCAGACCTTTCGTACCTACTAACACAGTTGCGCTCGGGCTATAATTAGTTATCTACCTACGCTATATGAGATTCGGCTTCCGCGACGCAACCTGGTTGAGGAGACAAAAAGTAGCTCCTAGGAACGAAATGGCTTCTAGGAAACCAACCAAGCGTATTTCCGGGGGCTCATGAGTAGGCAAATATACGTTTTGGTTAGGGCGGAAACAGGGTCTATAAACAAGTTGATATGGCAGGGCGGGTTTTTATTATAGTTTAATATTAGAATCAAAACTAGAATCTATTCAATAGAGAGCGGTAATGCAGCGTACTACTTCAAATGCTTTTTTTATCTGGACATGCGTGTCAGACTGGATTCTCACTTCAAACCTTGCAAGAAGAAAATTTTGAACACAACGATCATACAGGCCTGCCAGGGGTAGAGCCAATGGAAATACAAGAAAGTTCAGTCGAAAATAAATTAGAATAAATTAATAGTGCATTGGGCAGCCCGTAACTGCTTCTACGGGCTCGAGTAAGGTGTTGAAAAATGAATAGGGCTGGTGTAGCACTACAAGCCCGACAAAACGAGTAGCCCACTCCCTACACTTTTGCAATACCTCAAACTGCTGATTCATGGCCCTTTCTTTGTGAAAATGACATTGAACCCGTCACTTGTGATGAGCCAAGTGTGAATGTCAAATGTGTCGTTTGCGAGGTGATACTCAAACTATGAGCAGTTCATTAATGGCGTTGGGTATATTCCCCATGAGTAAAGAACTGTAGTGTTCAACTAGACAAAAGAGCCACTGCGAGGCTTTTAGAAAATGGAACTACATTGATAAATATGGGCCAGCTGGTTTCTTTAAACTCACAGCCCTCTTTCTCGCATTGAGACGCGGTCTTTTTGTTACTTTTGTTTGCATGATTTTAGCAGACACCGGGTTGGGGAGGTAGGTGTTATGGAAGCCATCAAAGTGAAGAGGGATTCCATGCAAAGCGAAGCGCTAAGCTGCCTGACTAACATGCCTTAAATTGACACAATAAACATAGAATCAGAGGAGAGGGGGGTTTGACGAGCGTGGCTAGTTACAATCTGGCCAAGAACGTGATGGGACAATGGAAAAGTTCAATTTGTGAAACGAATACCCCGCTGATTATAATTGTTGATGCCATGAACAGACTTGCACTGGGTGACGGCAGTTTGCTCAGAGAGGTCCCAGGTTGTGGAATTATCAAATGTGATGGCAATTTTACTTACGTAGCTTCCCTAGCTACCTATAAATACAAATTTAATCCTTCCCTCCCAGTAGTAGCGCTTCCTTCAAAGTCACTGTTCGCTCACTTCAATCGAATTCAAGCCACCATGCCTCTCAGGAAGTTCTTTGAATCTGCATCATATCCCCCAGACGAGAGAATAGCGAGAAACTCAGACGATGTAAAAGAAACCAAAGCGTTGAAAGACGAGTATACCAAACTGTATCGAAAGCATGAGAAGACATCCCAAGATAAGGACAGACTCACTAAAATTCAAGGCCTGTTAATGGCTCGTTTCGCATTCGATCCAATCACTGAGCCCACAGGTACTGACTGGGGAGGTGCGAACAGAGAGCCCAGTCGTGCAAATCTTGGTAATAGGTTGGGGGAAAAAGGAGTTTACGAGGGCCGTTTGGACCAAAATACAGCGGCAAGAACAACTGGGATTGAAATCAGTGGACACACAGAGTCTTCCGCAGGCTCATCAAAACAGACTGTCTCACAAACGGAACCAAACAGCGGAGCTATTGCCGTCGCTTGGTGCAAGTGCGGCGCGGGAAAAAAGCAACGTAAAATCTACCGTTACAGCTCCACCTCTGCTGATGCTAGAAAATATGAGATGGGAAGCCCGACTGAGTTGAGCAATGATGACTTTAAGACTCTTACAGAAGTCTCCGGCACCGCCAAGTCAATACTGGATCTTCGAAACAAGTTTGGGCGTCGACAATACGGGTACTCCAATGTCAAAAAGATACTCGGAGTTGCCATATTATCACCCGACCCGAGGAAAACAAGACCTACTCCTGCAGGGACTGACGGCACTAAATCTCCCTTTCCTAACACAACTGTTTTCATCGAATGGCAAGATATATTACCAGATGATCTTCACTTGCTAATCGATGATCAAAGCAAAAGCTGGGAAATGAGAAGCAAGCTTCTAAGTGCGACGCCAAAAAAAAGAATAGACGAATTGAATAACTGGATTATTGATACCTACACGTCGCAAAATGAGTCTTACGCAAGGCTGCACAATAAACCCCCAACGCCCGTTCCTCGAATTTTCAGAATGAAGGAGAATCCAACTTCTTTGCCTCAACCTCAGCGACGAGATCCGAATAATCCAAAAGTGGACCCTTCAGGGAAGCAGGCAGAACCACCGCAACCAGAAAATGATGGAGCCCAGGCGGATGCAGGGCAGCTAAAGAGCAAGAAGAGAGGAAGAAGGGATAGCGATGCGACTGAAAGCCCGGCTGAGAGTGCTAAAAAGTCTAAAACGCACCAGGAAGCTATAAGACAGAATATTTCAGAGAGTAAGGATGGAACGTTGGAGGATGGAGTGAACGCAAACAAAGAGGAGTATGGAAAAGGAGCAAGCAAGAAGCGAGCAAGAACAAATAGTGACCTTGCTCGTGACCTTGAGCGTGCTGAAAAAAGTAGGACGGACCGTGAATCTGTCGGCCAAAGTGGTTCAGGTTGAGCAGCTTAAAAGCAAGATGCTGAGAGACCCAAAGTAGGAGAAATATTTGGGGCAACTGAAAGAAAGTTATATTTGGAACGTCTTACCTTGCGGCTATAGTAGCGCTTGTGGTTGTTGGCGACATCATTGTTGATATTGTTGTAGTTCAAAGGAATGACTGAGGGAGTACAAGAGACTATATATCCTAGCGGTGCAACAGATTCGAAATCATCCTGACTTTTCGCATACGTTATGAAGGGACCAATTCGGACGACGCGGCTTGGTTCCTGATTTGCACCAGCTTTGTATCGCAACAGATATGATTTCTTGTTAGATTTTGTCTTCTTACTGAGCCGTTCTTAAACCCTTTGACCATTAAATCCAATTGTGCAATATAGTCAGCTACGTTTGGGGTAGCATCCATCCAGTGTGTCTTTATTAGATTATTATAACCAACCATTTGGGGCTGGCTACGCGATTCGGGCGTTCGCCTCTGATCGTGTCTAACCTTTCTTTTGCGGCTTCAATAAACATACATGCCTAGATCACATGACCACATGTTGAGGACTTGCGGCGGCAAATTGAGGGTGGTGAACTGGGTGACCATTTGGTATATTTGCTCATTTTACCTCGTATTTGCGCCCTCCATTTAAACAATTGGATTATTGACGGCTAGAGGTCGCTCGCCATTGTCCTCTCAACGTTACAGCAATGCAGTAGTCTCCACCAACACATCAACGGTTCTTCACGTTCGGAATCATCATTTAAGACTCAGTCAACAAAATTCACGCACAGCGTTAATACGCTAGTTCGTATTTGCTCGTCGACGCATGCCCGGCTGGATTAGAGACCGAGTCTTGTAAATGACCAGAGACGAAACGGTTACCACCGTATTTTTAAACACGTGCCAGCACCACCGATAAGGTCATATTGTCGATTACTATCGCCATGTGGCTGGCAACAATGGAGTGGTTGGCCGATACATTCCGTGTCACCTCTTGTTTGCACTCATGTCTCTCATCCACTGAAGCAGCTCTTCACAAACTGCCATGACAGCACTGTGGAAGATGGCCAAAGCCGAAATCTGACTTGGTTATGAATAACGGACCATTTCACTACTCTAGACGTATTGCGCAGATGTGTCTCGATGCCGGAGTCAAGTTGGTTTATTTTCCTCCTTATTCGCCGAACCTCAACCCAATTGAAGGGCTTTTCGTCGAGCTCAATGGTTTCATTAGGCGTAACTGGAGCTACTCTGAAGAGGATAGGGACCAAGGATTTGATTCTTTCCTTGACTGGTGTATTAATAAGGTCGGGGCAAGAGAGGAGAACGCTAGAGGACATTTTCGGCATGCAGGCTGAACTATTGAAGATTTGGATACTTGACTATCTCATCTGGCGGCCCTTTACATAATGCTAGTACACTCTCGTTGCTAAAAAGCTGCTATCTCTGTGATCCAGTTTCACATTCTCCAGCCAATACAGACAAGGTTCCAATTAGACCAATCCTCTGCCGGTAGAACCACAGCTGTCTGGGACAAAAATTGGACTCAAGTATGACCACCCCCGCGGGTGGGATCATTTCCGCGAGGAGGACCGGTTCCACGAGGAGGGACAGGTCCACGGGAAGAGTCTCCTGCACCAGAACTACGGCCTTCGGCACTGATACCTTCCCGGCTCTCCCGAATGTTCCTATCTCTTTCCTGCCTCCGCTGCTTCTTTTCCCTTCTCCTCATCTGCCTTCGTCTGTTTGATTCCTCATTATCTGGCTGAGGCAGAAGAACCGAGCCATCGCTGACTCGCCAGTGAAGAATGTACCACATCCGTTGGCTCCGTAAAGACGGCGTCGATAGGCGAACAGTAACATGCGGCGCCGGGTTAGGGTCATGGGTGCTTTTAGTGGGATGAAGGCCGTTGCTATATTGACTTGGTAAGAAGGGAGTTATAACTCTGTCAACCTACTACCTACAGAACATGTGCTTGATCGAAATCAACGATAGTCCCATCATGAATTGTGAATCGGTGGTTCGCGTTCACCCATTGCTGGAATTGGTTGTGATAAAGACGACGAAAGTTCTGGTCACAATCTGCATCATATGTAACTTGAACAGACATATTTGAGTGGTAGTGGTATTAAAAAATAAAAATAAAAGTCATTGTATGTGTCGTGGTGAAATGCTATTGTTTTCAGCAACGAAAGAGCTGGAGATATATATCTTGATCAGTACCGGTAGACCAGCGGAAGCGCCGACAGAGCGCCGACCATGTCTGGGCGGGCGCTTGACCAACCAAAAACTGTATCAATAAAAGCGCGTAGCCACTATTTTCTGTCGGGTCAGCCTTTCAGGTCAAGTACTGGAACAGATAGAGTTTTGTTCTTAGGAGATGAGAAGTATATCATTCGACCATAGGCGTCAATTCTAAAGTTAGTAACCATCTAATAATGGAGTATCTGTGCTGGGCGGCTATAGATTTCCGGAGGGGTGTGCCACAGCCAATCACCCAAAATGCCAAGACATGGCAGCTCAATTAGTCATCAATTCTTGGCAAGCAATATTATCTTGGCGCACCACGACTTCTTAAGTTGCGGCATTTCCCCCACAGTGCCTCCCTGCTCCCTTTCGCCTTTAACATGGATTTATCTCTATTCCGCCAAAGCAATCTTCTTTATACACAGGAGTCGTTAACAAGGTACCAGTCTGGGGGTATCATCCGGTCAACATCGGAGATACGTTCAAAAATGGTCGCTACAAGATACACCATAAGCTAGGATGGGGTGGCTTTTCAACTGTGTGGCTTGCGAAAGACAGAGTGTCAGTCTAGCAATTGCTTAGGTTTTTGCTCAACCTTAGCTAATCGTTGGCCAGCCGAAATCAATGGGTCTCGTTAAAGATCATGACTGCAGATTCGGGGGGATCGCGAGAGCTACACAATTTGAAGCATCTTGAGAGGCATTCTCATGGAAAACTTTCCTCAAACTTTGTTGTGCAACTGCTTGATTCCTTTACTCACAAAGGTCCTAATGGAGTTCACCAATGTCTTGTATTTGAATTACTCGGCCCTTCCGTTGATAAGACCCTTGCAGACTATCATGAGAGTAACGAAAAGCTCTGCCCGGATACTATACTCAGAATGTCTACGCAGCTCTTGAAGGCTGTCAAGTTCATTCACGGTGCCGGCATGTGCCATGGGGGTGAGAGCATTGTTCCCCCTGCAGCTTTTTGCGATTTGACGTAATTATACTTACTTCGCATTAGACATTAGCGGTCGGAACATCGCATTTAGTTGCACACATTTGTCCAACGTAACTGAGGAAGAACTTTTCAATGTCCTTGGGTTCCCAGAAATTGAGCCGCTGGCCCGCATTGATGGCATGCCTTTAGAAAACGGATTACCGAACCAGCTGATCGGGGCAGCAGAGTGGGTCGAGTGGATAGACGAGGACGACGAAGATATTCGGCTCCTTGATATTGGAGAGAGTTTCCTCCAAGGAGAGGAGCCTAAAAAGCTGGCTCAGCCGGGTACATTGCGAGTACCGGAGACGATATTCATGGACCGTTTTGATTATCGCGTCGATCTATGGCGCACGGGTTGCATGGTACGTCAACATTTCTATATTTTTATTATTTTTATTATTTTTTGCAGTAGAGTGCTAATGAGGAAATGAATTATAGATTTACTTATTCTTATTCGCAACCTACCCTTTTTGGTATCTTGGCGAGGATGAAGTTTTGATTCTCCAAATGATTGGCTTTGTGGAGAAATTGCCGACTGAGTGGGAGTCCCGGTGGAAATCGATGAAGATGAGGTCCAGCCATGATTTGGAGATAAACAATGGTACGCAAATTAACACACCATAGAATCTTTTGCTAACTCCGCTCAAAGATTGCGAAATGTCCAAGCTTGAACGGAAGTTCGCAGAGATCGTGCACGATCCAACACTCAAACCTTTACTACAAGTGACTCAAGGATTAATGCGATTTTTACCATCCAGTCGCATTACTGCAGAAGAGGCACTCAGCTTGCTTTGCAACAGCCAAGAATAATCAATGCATTCAAGTGAACAGTGAGATAAAGCCGCGCTATTCAACATGATAAATACGTGCAATTTCAAACCAAAAGAATACCGGAGCCGCTCCTAACACTAGCGCGATTCATTCTATATCACTTCGAGAATGAGTATCGCTTTCTTCACATGTTCAACCCAGTCCCGAATGTTCTCTGCGAAGATTCGAACTATTCCTGGCTTGACCCCCTTGCCGACAAAGAATCCTGGGTTTTGATCCGTATATATGTGCTCAAGATTAAAGCCATCTGATAGCGTTGCATCGCATGCTTGCCGGAATCAGCTTCGAGAGTATCATCTGATACAGTCACCCTGATACAGTTGATGCAAGCCACTAAATATATTCTTTGACGGCTACGTCTCTGGATCCAGAAAATTTTAATGGACATATCTCTTTCGGACCGCTTGGGTCAGCAACCCTATTGGCAGCCGCCACACCCAATTCAGGAGGGTGAGACGGCAGAATATTGATTGTCCCGTAATGCACAACTATTTCCATTTTATTCCCTGCACGATAGATATGACGCAAATTACTGATGGGGTAGGATAGTCAGAAAACGGGGGCAGCCCAAACATGACCGACGGACTAGCCATCACGGAATAAATGGCCCTGTGGGTCCGTCTAATTTTTTGAGTATGGTCCATTGTTGTGCTGGCCAAATCAGAGGATGCTGAGGCTATTACTGTAATTTAAGCCAGGGAAAAAAGTAGCTGAAATCGTTGAACATTTTACCCATCATTTCCACGAACCATGACTACAGCGTTTATTGCAGACTTGGACGGGATCACCATAAGTGGGGCTGGGTTACAATATTATGGGGATGGCCATCAGAATACTGAGTAGTTTATGGTTTCCGCAGCAATGTGAGGTGACACTGTGTAACTGCGGGTTCAGAAAAGCAGATGAAATTCTCTGCTAAATATGTTCTAGAAGAAGCTCCAATGTCCCGGCGCCATATAGAGCTCTTCTTCGGTCGTGTTGGCCTTGGCTCGTTAGTTGAGGTGAATGCCTTGTTGGTGACTCAAGTTTTTAAGTTTAGCTTTTCCTACGGATTCATTCACAATACATCTGGAGGCCCTGTAAATATGTAGTGTACTATATGCACCGAATTTACACAGAACGGGAGATACAAAAAATAAAGTCCAGTACTCCAGGCGGCGGTCCGAACCCTCATAGATACTGTTTTTCTCATTCTCAACGTAACGCTGCCACCAGTACATACATAGGATGGATCGAAATCAGATTCGCCACTTTACTCGCATAGAATCTTTCTCGAGCCCTGTTCCGAAACATCCGAATCCAATACAGACCTAGCCCGGTCTCGAATATTGAATCGTATTGAAAGTCTTCGTCGAGTGATTAAAGGTTAATTAAATTACTCGTAATGCTCTTGCCGTGCTTCACCTTGTGAGTTTTCATCCCCTGCACCTCAAGAATATTGGCCTCTTCCCACCGACCCTAGTCACAGATGTCGCCGCTAGACTGGCCATCTTCACGCCTTCATACTAAACAGGTAATCTGTGCAGTAGAACTTCATGTGCTCGTGTTGCTATTATTTTCGCTTAAAACATTCAGAGAATCCCCGGTGGTTCCCGATTGCAATTTTCGAAATAAGCTCGCTCGATACGTCCCTTCCGGGGGTGCTTTTCTAATGCACTAAACATAAAGGAATGATAGTCAAGCGTGCTTGTTGTTCTCGCCATGTTATAACTCCATGGTTCTCCTTGGGTCATCATGAAATCATCCGACAAGGCAATATCAAGAGCTGACGGTCCGACCCTCTGAGAGGTTAACCACATAGGCGACATTAGATCGTCTGTGGTCAAAGCGCGGACAAGTCTCCTTGCAACTCTCTTCCTCTCGTGAATAAGAGCTAGGTACAAAAAGCTTTCGCCTTCACAGTTGTAGTATGACGGTAGAATGGCCCGCTGGTCAAGGAGAAATTGAAAGCACGAGGGACAATCAACAATGGTGCGCGATACAAGGTCCTGCTCCCTTAAAGGACGGTGGAGGAAGACGTAAGATATATCAGACGATGAGGTTGATTGACAACCTTGACGGGCGCTTTTGTAATCGCGGTAAAGATTGTATCGCTTCTGGATCTCCGTTCGGAACCACTCTGTTCTCATAAAACCAAATATTTGGTGCTGCAAACGCGGGAACCTCTTAAGTCGAGAGAATCGGTCCATATTATGAAGAACAGAGTGATTGTCATCCCCAAATGACCTGGAAAAGAGGCTGAGTTTAAGGATATGATCCAGAAGCTCAGGAGGGAGACGTTCAAGGTTACCCAGAAATGATAGTTCCCCTTGAGTTAGAATCATGGTCAAAGTCTTTGATAAGACTTCTTCGAGGAAAGTGAAGGCTGAGATTTGACAATACTCTAAAATTCCGCAGCTTTATGAAGAGTTCTTATTATAATAGAGGGGTAAGGGCATGAATTTAAATAGTGCTATCACTAGGCGGTGAAAGAAACTAGAATTATACCCTCCAGTTCGGAGCACTCTGCATTTTGCACTTCAAATACACAATTGGTAGGAGCTACTGATTATCAGAGACTCCTAGGAACGCCGAGGAGTTTATAGGGCCGAATGGTTGTTTTCAGGGCCAAGTCAACGTAAGATGATTGTTCTGACCTAGCGAACACCATTTCTGAGGGTCGTAGCTATGAGATTTGCCTCCAAGTTCTTAGGAACTGTGCTAGTAAAACTGGAACGGAGCGGGGGATCCAGTAGTAGCAACTAGCACCGTGTACGTGTATATCTAACTGGATACATTTAGCGTTATTCAAGATAGCGCGTAATAGCACAAAGCAAGGGTCAGGCGCTAACTAATTGCTTCTGGTGTTCGTGATGTATTAGTGAGGTCAAATGTCTCTACAAAATGAGATGAATCGATTTCAGCCTCAATCCTGCAGTATTACTGAAATTGACGGAAATGGACGGAGATTCTTTTACGTCGTGGTGATAGTGCGGCATGAGAGTGGTTCGAGGCCAGCTCGTAGCCTCGCGGTGAGCTATCTACTCTGTACAGGGTCCGAATCATATACACCATAATCCAATGCTTTGAAACGAACGTATTGAGTTAAAGGCTAGGAACAACGTAGATGTGCGGCGCGTCCGCAAAAGAACGCTGCTGTTGCACCTTAGGGCTTTATTGTCACACGCGCTGCCCGCTCGTTTCTCCGTTGCCTTTCTGGGTCTGGCCTGTCTTAGCTTTTAGGGTTCGCGATCCTTGCCTGTATGAATCTGCGGTGTTACACTCATTGCCTGAATCATTCTCTTCCTCCATTATTTGGTCCACAATTATGACTTCACCATCGCTTGCACCGTCTGATTCTTCATCGTTGTACGTGGGACAAGACGCATGACATACATCGCCATTCGGATTAACACATATTTCGGCTCCCGTAGGAGTTGAAAAGAATGGATGGTTATCACGGGGTGTGAGACCCTGGCAGATGTATTCCATTGGCGTATGGGAAATATCTTGCCCCGGTCGACGTGGGTTCAGCCACTCCTGTAAGAAAGCTAAAGTCGTTGTTACCTCGATTGAATTTCTTGTCGAGAGTCGGTCACCTTCACTTGGACGGCCAGAGCTAGCATAGATTCGACGCTGCAAATCTTGGCATTCCGCAAAGGCAAAATATAACCTTCCGGCTAAAACTCCAAGTTCGAATGGGAGCCAGGACGGTGGATTCCATTCGGTAGGTAGACGGGGAAGTGAGTAGTAGTCTAGACGATTGAAGTGGAGCATCCGTTTCGTAAAGGGCGCTGCATACAGGAGCAGGTGTGTAGGCGGGTCTGCATGTTCGCGTAATATGGGAATGGCCAGGGCGACATCCGCACGCATGCTCAACAGAACCCAGTTAACAGACGCTAAAGAGTAAAGAGTGCAATGTTAATAAAACAGGACGAAGCCTCTGCCACTCATCGGCTGCTTGAGTGGGCCCAGAGCTTACAATAAAATTATCAGACTCGTGTTCAGTACCTAGTCGGACAGTCCTAGCAAACTCGGGCGACAAGAACACGTGGGGTATCATTGAAAATGATTGCATCATTTGTTTCCTCCAGAGCCGAGTTGATGTTATGATAGTGCAAGCTTGGGGACAGACGTCGTCGCCACTGAGGAAGCCGGTTTCAACCAAATCTTGGATCGACTGATGCAATCCCGGAAACTCTAGAGCATCAATGAAACATGGCCGCTGTAGCTCTCGTTCCTGCTCGGCCTCATTGGCAACCTCGCGTTGTTGCTCTACTTCTTCTAACGCAGAAGGTACCGCAGACTCCTTGTCCGAGGTTCGCGGATGATACATTTCCCTAAGGATGCCCACAAACTCTCTCAGTTTACCAGAAAGGGGAAGATTGCTCTCCGATTGGGACGCGATTTCGTCACCCCTCAATACACAGGGTCCATACAGCTGTTCCAAGGTTCGCTGCTCTGGCTGCTGCAAGTACTTCAAAAATGCTTTTCGGTGATCAACATTAGAGAGGAAGTCGTCGAAGGTCGCAGCAGCCTGCATTCGGTAACAAAAATCAGTACCCTGCCAAAAGTACTGGGAGTGTAGCTGTCTGTTGCTGGTACAAGTCTGATCAAGAAGCCAAGTTATAACATCAGCAGAACCAAGGTCTTCCCCTACTCTCTTGTGACAAACGTCCTGAATACTCTGGTGGACCTCCGACGGAGCAATCAATGTGACAGACTGGGTTGTGCCCAATTGCCGTAATCTCATCGCAGCTGTACAATGAGTCAGCCATGTTTGTTGAAAAGGGAAGCAAGATATCCCTGTATTTTATTCACCGCTCCACAATTCTTAATAGGTGATTTATCGGTATCTTAGGCCAGTTCAGGTATATGTAGCCAAAGATATTTTCAGGAAAATGACTTCATGGCTGGCTTAGTGCCGGAACGGCCTAGGGACAACCGCAAACTCTTCCAAGGTATTGAGTTCCTTGCAGCCAGTGAGTTCCTCTATATGCAAGGCCTGTGATGCTTCTGAGGTCGGTAATATAAGTAGAAAACTTGCGAGGCAACCACGAACGCTCATGCTTTTCCTTATGAGTTACACATAAGATAATCTTAACCTAACAACTAGGCTTTGTGTTGGGGAAATGCATTCAATTGTACGGCATTCAATGATTATATAAAACTGTTCCTGTTCTACTTTTCGAATGCCCAAATCAGACAAAGCTGAATAGCAAATAATAGGTTAATTGAATACACGATTACCAAAGCTCATTTGCTAGGATTATAATTTGGTCTGGACCTTTGCATAGGCATTGGGCCCCATCCGTACAGCTTATTCGAACTTAGATATTGCATGAGTGGAAGAATTTAGGAGAACTTACTGCACTGGCTAAACAGTTTACATTACGCAAGTTGCGCAGGGCGAAGCTGATCACCGGTATTTCGTCCCACAATTAAATCGATTTGAGCTGTCTTAAAAGGGCACGTCTTTCTGTACCCAGGTATGTTCGAGTTCCAAATATTTTCCAGCACAATTGTCCTCTTCTAAAGCAACTGGACTTTGTCCGATAAACCGATAAGAAATGACAGCTCTTCCAACCTTTGAGCCGTACGTGCTCACCCTATTGGACCATAATGTTCCCGGGATCTATATGTCATTCTTCCTTACCTTCTAGATCGATGAGCCTTCTCTTGCAATTCCACCTCTGGAAGCGGGCGTGAACCGCCTTATAGAGCTTCTGCCATTTCTTGCCGGCAATGTCACTCCGTCTATCTAGTTGAAAGGCAAAGAGAATGTGTACGAGGTACAGCCTCTAACCGCCAAATTCCTATAGGAACATTCCATGTTGCGAATCAAATACCACGAGCATTATGTTTCTCCTAAAAGTCCCGGTGCACTTTCTTTCTCAAACGAATCTTCTATAGACGAAAGATTTATCCCAATGCCATTTGAAATGGCCTTGGCAGAATTGATTCCCGTGCTTAGACTGCAAGCCAATGTCATGCATGATGGTATCGTTCTCTGCATTTCCTTCCACTATATGGCTATAGACGGCTATGGAGCACTCAATTTGAGCAGGCAGCTTGTAGAATGCTGCCAAAACCCTTATATGGACCCTGAAGTTATTCAAACCAATGCTCTCGCCGAGGCGCGAAGTAGACGGACGATATTTGATGCTGTCACTAAGAATGGTACCTAAAACGAGCTGCCTAAACCGTCTAATATAGCTTTAAAAGTTTCGAATACAGTCATCAGCAGAATTTTGACTTTTGATGCAGAGAAGATTAAATTCCTGAAAAAAGCGTGTATGTCATTCTTACGTACAAATTTGGATACGCGAGATGCTTATTTGTCGAGTAATGCAGTTCTCTTAGCTGCACTATGGCTCGGCATTATCCGATCATAATATAGCCTATTATCGTCTAAGGCAGCTGGATTAGAGTAGAACCTCACGTAGACTAAGTCCTGTTTTGTGACAGCATCGGAGATTCGCAATCTATTTTAACCCACTCTACCTAATTCGTACTTAGGAAATGCATTGATTGTGGGCGGTATATCCACCACTATCGAAGACGTATTCTCTATCCGGAATAAGTTGACTCGCTTATCCCCTTCGCCTTCGAACCGTCCTAGCCCTGACGACATCCGCCACATTGCCGAGATGGCCTTTTCGATTCACCGAATGTTTGGCGTACTTACCACCGAATACCTTTAAACAGCTGTCTCGTATAAGTTCAATAGCAGTGACTGGTCTATGAGCATACCGGTTGCGGATCTTATGCTTAGTAGTATTAGGTACCTAACTATTTATGAACATAATTATGGGACACATTTGGGACAAGTAAAGAGCTTTGATATGCCTGATGCTCGTTTTCCCGGTGCGGGTTAGGTGATGCTAGCTCGTTTCAAGGGAATGTCTGCGCCCTGGGAAGTGAGGCTTGCTTTAGAGTCAGAGGTGATGGAGCGATTACAGAGGGATGGGTTGATCATGTGGGCAAAGTTGCAGCAAAATTCCAAGCTTTAGGGGTGTTGGGACGGTCTCTGTAGTTTATAGACTGAACGTTTGGCGATTTTCTGCCGTGCTAGCTTGGTGGAAATCCTAGGGACGTTGTACACGCATGCAGTCAATGAGTTTATGTAAGCTTCCTAATTAGGGGGTTCTGTCAAGAAAAGTGGTCCTTATAGTACTAGCTTACTCGAGTTTTAGCAGCACCTATTTTGCTTACTCATTTGCTATAGTATAGATGGCTACTTCGCCAAGCTATACACCGCTTCATGAGCTTTGGTTAAATAGCGCAGCATCAGCTTGTCCTAGAATTTACACTCATTTCTATGATAACAGGCCGATCAATAGTCTATTGTAGAACTAGCGCGTACCGTATCTCTTGGAATCGACAGGTTCAACTACTTCAAAATCTATCCTACCATTTTCCGTCTATCAGTTAGTCACCTTATGCTAGCAACTAATCATAAACCAAACGGGTAACGAAAAGCAATATCAATATGATAACGGTGTGTTTCTCATAGTGAAATATCTATAAGAGGGGTAATGTCTGTTTTTCACTACTTAATCATAGATTTTAACCACTTCGACAAAAACATGTCTCGCATTTACCATGGTCCCTTTGTCAAGCCACTCTATACTTTTCTTATCTATCCTATAGAGTTTGATATGAGTTTTTGCAAAGATATTTGCTAGACAAACGAACAGTTCGCAGTAAGCGAGGCTACGTATGTTAGTAACTTGCTAGAGCATATGATAGGCGGCGGGGCTCGGTACTTAATTCTAATGTAGGATCGACTGCCCCTAGAGAAGGGCACATGCCATTTTTTGAGGTGCTTTCCTTTTTCCCTAAGCTATCGCTCGGGAACGAACTTCTCGGGGTGCGGGAAGACCTCGGGATTATGATGGACCATGAGTTGGCTTATAGAGATGGTTGTCTAGTTGATTAACTCATTAGCTTTTCAATAGCAGATTTTTGTGATAGGTTAGTTTACTCCTCTAGGCACGTATTGACCCTTTATACGGATGCCCTCCGGTGGCACAATTCTTATATATCTTAAGGGAGCGGGAGGGCTAAGTCGTAGACTCTCTTGAATGACAGCTGTCTAGCAAGGTAATTAGCGAGAAATGTAATTGGGGAATGTTTTAATATGACAAACTAGATATGGTAACTGAGAAACGCTCTTATATGATAGAGCTTGATTATCCCCTCGAGGAACAGCACGAAGCTCATTTCTAAGGCGTTTTTCTATAAATAGATTTGTTAAGATATGGTACGTAGCGTACGACAACGTAACGGCTGTAGTATCGTTCCTAGCAAAACTAGTGGCGAAGGCTTCGTCAATAAGGCTCTCTATTGTGATTATTTGAGCCTCTTTCTTTTCCGGTTCTGCCTGGAGCAAGCTGAAAATCGTACGTGTTCCCTCTTTACCTGTTTCCCCTGGTTTTTGGGCATACATATCTTTAATCCAATTGGCATATTGCTATTGTTTTTGTAAGAATTTACGTTAGGCGTAGATAGAAAAGAGAAGGGAGATTTTTGACTTACTCGACGGAATACGACATACCCTAGTGCAATTTTGTTCGCCAAATATTTAGGCATCACTAGTGCGATCTAGCTCAGGATTAGGAATTGCTTAGCAATGTTGATGCGATTAGAAAACATGCGGATACTATGCAAAAATTCGTTACAATCCATGGTTTTCCCAAAGAGAAGCAACATAATGGTATCAGCCTAGATACGTAACTTAGAATATTGAAGTAGTATAGCAGGGTGATCGTTTTCTGACAAACCGTAATATAGCGATAAAGTTGTTATATATCTAAAGGGGATTTAGCTCGATGCGCTTCGGAAGCCTTGGCAAGTGCGTGTAGAGACATATCTTCGATGATAGTGGCGAACCTATTAATTGAACTCCGTGCAAATAAGGAACTCATGACTCGGTGACGGGCTCTATGGCTGTCTCTATTTGTGAAAGTAACCAAAGCCTCCGAAATTCTAAGTGCTCCGTAAAACTTTGGGTCTTTAGGGAAATTCGTATCATTTTGATATAGCCTAGGGACAAATTAGCGGAAACAAAATCGGGACAGTGTTATAGCATGTTGTCTATAACATACTCTATGAAGAATTCTAGGTCGTTGATATGTACCTCGTTGGGTCCGATCCTAATGACAGGGCCTATGGTATATCATAAAAATTGCTATTTAGAGAATCATCTATGTGACTGAAAGAAGATTCATACTATATTTCTTATGCAAAAGTCGAAACTGCTTGACAAACTTCCTACCCTACACAACGTCTTGATAGAAGTCATACCATTTAGTAACATTCGCGGGGAAGGGCCCGGGAATAGCTCGCAGAGGATGAAAAAATAAACGATAGATGACAAGGACTAGAGGATAAAGCAGCAGAATCAAAGCCGACCCTTAGACAACATTGGTCCTAGAGAGCAATGAGAGCAGGAATATGGCCAGGGCCATTTTTTGATAAGTGTAATAGGCAGTTGCACCATTTATCACCATTGATTTAGGGATATAGTCTAATATAAGC